ACTTAATAGTAATGATAAAGTTTCAGTTTGTGCTTAGCGGCGGGTCTCAGCTTCGCATTGTTAGCATAGTTAGGATAATTAGTTGAATACCTGGTGATTCGCTATGTAAAAATGGGGTGATATTGGGGGGTGGGGGGAGGGCAGGTAACAGGTAATTGTAAACAGAGGGGAAGGGGAAGACAGACAATTGATACAATAAAAATATATAAATAAACCCCGAAAGCTCTTCATCTTTTCCACGCCAATACCATGTCTGGATATCCTCTGCACATAACAGTGAATGCACTACATACAGCACAATCGTTATATAACTACAGCATACGGTACTAGGGGTATAATTAGTAAGGGGGTTAAATAATTATCTGTGTATTGACAATAATTGTACCAGGGGTTGGATGTGGTGTTACTACCAGGACTGTTGCTAGTGGTTACTCCTCCTGCGCTTTCTTCCCCATATTTCTTTGCTAGCTCATTGTCCCTGACCCGGAATCCAGTTCAAGGTAGTTTTGTTTACAAATACAAGCAGCTTGACATCATTATCCGCATCATGAGACCAATGTGAACTCTTGATTTTCTAGCCTGACTTTGAAAACTGATTTTAGTTGTGTTTGGTCCTTGTACCTGCAACGAAACTGTAACGCACGTTGCTAGGACACTGTAACGCACGTTGCTAGGACACTGTAACGCACGTTGCTAGGACACTGTAACGCACGTTACTAAGACACTGTAATGCGTGTTGCTAGGACACTGTAACGCACGTTGCTAGGACACTGTAACGCACGTTGCTAGGACACTGTAACGCACGTTGCTAGGACACTGTAACGCACGTTGCTAGGACACTGTAACGCACGTTGCTAGGACACTGTAACGCACGTTGCTAGGACACTGTAACGCACGTTGCTAGGACACTGTAACGCACGTTGCTAGGACACTGTAACGCACGTTGCTAGGACACTGTAACGCACGTTGCTAGGACACTGTAACGCACGTTGCTAGGACACTGTAACGCACGTTGCTAGGATACTGTAACGCACGTTGCTAGGACACTGTAACGCACGTTGCTAGGACACTGTAACGCACGTTGCTAGGATACTGTAACGCACGTTGCTAGGACACCGTACCGCACGTTGCTAGGACACCGCGACCGTACCGCACGTTGCTTTGCTTGTGATTTGTTTGCTGGAGTTGCGGCACTGCGAAGCTGTGACTATAAGATTATGAGACTAAGGAGCACCACCTGGCTCATGATTAACCAATTAACTAATCAGCTAATCTTCCTCGCCAGTATATCTGCAGTTAATCTCATCGTTAATATTCCCGCACTAATTATCCCTACTTCGTTCACCTCATCTGCTTCTCGGAAATGATTGGCCAGATGCCCATATATGGTATCGTGACGTCACGCATGCCTGTATATGGTAAACACGTGACGCGCATCATGGTCCCTGTTATCAGAGTTAGTACACACATCCTCATAGTTTCTATTGCTAGTCGCGCCATTTAACTGTAAAACAATCCTGGGATATTTACCCTCATATTTCAAATAGCCGCTTTTCACAACAGATGTAAGAGAGGTAGTCCACGACATGACGGTTCGTACTAAATTTAAATGTAAACGAAATTCTTCGTAGACTTGATCACGTGACACGTCTCTTCGACGTCGGTCTAATCCTTTGCTTTAAAACGGAAAGTTATTCGCTATTCGACCGTGTCTTAACAAACACGAGGTTTCTTCTTTCTTCAAAACGGAAACTCATTCACTATTTGGCTATCCCTCGTTAAACACTGGATACTATCTTGATGTGAATGTTTTCCTGCTCCATCTCCGTTATCACACGGTTAACTGGTAGTTGTGTGATCATTGCTCTTATCCAGTGTTCTAGCCCATGAGTAGTTCTCCTTCTGCTGCATGAGTAGTCCGTAGTAGAGTCCCCCTTCCGCTGCAATTAGGAAAGAATTTTTAGCACGCATTCCGTGTCTTAAAATGCAATATCTGTGCAGCCTAGGGCTTCGTTATGAGGATCTTCATCGGAAGGTTGATGGTGTTGCAGTTTCTTTGTAGTATGAACGTGGGGTACCGCAAGGTTCAGTCCTAGGACCACTTTTGTTAAACTACAGTATAAGGACAAGGAAGTCTGATGAATAATATGACTTCACAAGATATGACATCACCAGTACTGAACAAGACCCTTTGTCAGTTTGTCCGACACAACAATGTATCTCGGACCCTGCAGTGTTGCGTTTCCATAGCTACAAAGTTTCCATGGCTACAACGTTTCCGCGCACCACACTCCACACCGTCCTGATCCCGGAACCACGTCACACGTGGTGTTCGGCCCTTTTGTTGCGTTCTTTCTTTAACAATTTTTTGCAACTCGCCAACTTTCGTGACAATTGTTCTTTTCAAGAGGTAAATTAGAAGCTTATTGTCCGGCAGCGTTCCTTAGTTTATTTTTAGTGACCATCTTATGCTGCCGCATTTTGGCGCTATCCTAGGCTGTTGTAACTTGTAGCATCAGTCACTGAACGTGTTTTTTTATCTAGACACTTATTTTACTTCGGAGTATTCCAACAGCCATATTGTTACACAAGTGCAACCAGCCAATTACAGGAAGCCGAAGGATGTGATGGCTACCAATATTTACCAGCACGTTACTGACTGATCATAGTTAATAAAAGTTACTTATGGTTTTTCTAAATTCCAGTTACTAATCGTTTACTGTATGATAACTACTGGTTACCATTGGTAATGGTATATTAGTGGTAGCCGTGAGTCCCAATCAACCCGTCTCCACAATGCCGAATATTCCAGATATGCTTGCTATTTGTAGCCTACATACTTTTCCAAGGAACAACACAGTTTAAACACATTTCTGTTCATGTTGGTACGCAACACTTATGCCTGGCCTCTTCTTTTTTCTCCAGAACTTTTAGTTAATTAGCTCGTTTTGTGCAAGAAATGTGATTTATCATAGCTCATACCGCATTTGGTTGTGATTTGAGTACATATTCTATCACAATACGCGCATATAACACGTATAAGGACCTATTGAAGCATATTAGACGCTTGACAGGTTATTTGAGAGTGGGATTGGGATCATGTGAACCTTTATATACCGGGGTTTTTATTTTCCATACCTAGCACTTTTCTGTTCCCCCCGTCGGCCCGGTATATATCAGTTTCACTGTACTAGTGTTACAGCTAACTCACGATGCTTTTTTCTATGTTGTGTAAACTTAAACAAATAATTTTTCTTTAACAATAAAATATTTATCACTATATGTAGTTTCAGATCTACATTAATCCCACTCTTTGTACGTGTTATAGTATGTTACAATGCGTCACCTCAGCGAAATTATTCATATCACAAAAGATAAAAACATTATAATGGGGACTCAATTTGACGTTCTGTTGTTCTGCAAAGCTATGAGTTGTTGTCTGTTATATTTCGTCCAGTAGAACTTTTCTTTGTTTCAAAGATAGTCGTTCCATTGATAATTTTATCAAGTTACTTTTTCAACAATTTAACTTTGTACGAAGCGAGGAAAGAGTCTTTGTAGCCTTTTTCTAACCTTCGACAGCTTGTCTGAAAGTTTTCAGTCTTTAAGAAAAGCTTTATTAGCTTGTTTGTGACGGCTAACACTTGTTGGTTTCGAACCGCGCTTGATTCGCTCAACTTGGACAACTTGTTGTTCAGCTGTCCTCAAAGCTGCCATATAGCCTGACTGACAATTTTCTCGACTGACTGACAATGTTTCTTCTTTTTCCCCATTCAGAATACAAAGATTAGTACATTTTAGCTTATGATTAATATTATATTTTTACCTATAGTTTACCTAGATTATAAAACAGTTTTCAATCGAAATTGTTGACAACTACCATAATATTTCCCACCGTGTACTTACCCACCTACACAGTCCCCATGTAATGTACAGAGTGGAGGAGGAGACAGCCGGAGAAGTGTAGTCGCTGCTGTAGTCACTACTATAGTCACTACTGTAGTCACTGTAGTCACTACTCCCACCACCTTACACCTTACCAGCTCCCATGTCTTTCTCGGATGAAAGACGCTACTAACTGTTCTTGCACGGCCATATGTCACGACCTAAACACTGTGAGCAAGTGTGGCAAGCAATGGCACTGGTAAGTTACAAGAGAAAGGAAGAAAAAAGAATAAAAAAGTTGCATGAAGGTGTACTAGAAGGATTGTTTTATCATAAAGTACTTCATTTTTTGTTAAGTAGGTTCTATGCTGGTTTTAAAAAACCAACAGCTAACCGTACACTCACCCCTCCTCTGGAAAATACCCCTTGACAGCTGACACGTGACCCGTAGGTTCCTACTATCATCGGCAGCTAGCTACTTCGCGGGACTGCTTATCCTTCTGATATGCCGCCACTTCTACTCGCGGTGGATGCGGAGCGCGTACGACAGGCGCCCCACCAACCAGTACGTCGCCCAGTACGAGTCTCCATTCCTCACACCCGAACGAATCGACAAGTTCCAGCACACAGTATTCGACCACTTTTTGTCCGTACAAACTGGGTCTGGCAAGTGTACCGTGAGTATCCCTGGCTACTTCGTGACTGTTTTGTGGCTGTTTGTTGTTGCTAGTTTCGGGAGGAATCTACCTCTTTAAATGCGGGTAGATAGTTTCTACTTAGAAATTACATGGACGGAAAAAAGGAGCTGAGTAAAGTTTATTTTATTTTTCGTGAGCGAGCGCCAAGCGTGTAACAATACTGTGACAACCACTAAACAGTAAACTACGCTACTTCAAATTAATTCACAGCGCCATTCTCGAACTTTAACATCGGTCAGCGATAACCAATGCAGTCGCGCTACACTCTACAGTCGCTCTACCTTTTGCCGTCATATGCAGTCATCAGCATTTCAAGACACCCTTACCAAATAATTCGTTAGAAGTTTTGATTTTAAACTATTTCATTCAAGTTTATCGTTGAAGTATTCGGAAGCCCTAACGGACATTTTATTTCAGGCAATCTTATACTTTCTATTCAACGTTATATCAGTGACTCTCTACATAAATCAGTCTGACCAGTAAGTTTTATTTTAAAATCTTTTTACTGTTTAATTATATAATGGTAATTAATTCATTTAATTCAGCTGGTTTAGATTTCTGTTATAGATTTTTTCCTCTAAACTAAATTAGATTCATGTCATTCTGATTTGTAATCGATATGATTGGATCTGATAGATCTGGATATTGGTGGGGACCGGAAGTAGACCAATCAGCTTCCAGCATTTAGCTTATCAGCTTCCAGAAGTGACAAATCAAACCCAGAATCACTGTAACGTATGAAAACAAATATGGTTCACCTCCCCACCAAAATCCACACTATTATTTTAATTAGCCAATTTATTTACCAATAAAATAAGTAATTTATTATTTTATTAATTTATTAATCAACGTATCCTCAGGCCGTTAGAACAGTGTGTACAAGTTTTAGACACGTGTAACTGGACGCTATACGCTGATATAGGACTTAATGTTTTCTTTTTATTTCATTTTTTATTAAGAGTAAGTCCATCAGCATCAAAAAACACTTAATCTTTTGTATGTGTCATTTTAAGTCAAGAGGAATCGTCCATTGACATTAACGTTTAGTTTTCATTCTTTGAAGATTCCCAAACATTTTAGTATATATAGTGTTTCCAGCATATTTATTTAGTTTTAGAATACAAATTCTAGAGTGACATTAGGTCGTTTTGATAATTCATAATTAAAGCTAGATAGTAATCTTGCCTCTATCTCTACCAACACTCCCCCTGTATTTTCAGTTAATAGCAGCGCCAAATCGGTTAAAGTTTTGGTTTCAAATGGGTTCTATAGTTGACTTTTGTACGATACCCCCCTGTGCTTTGGCACTCATTTTAGAAAGAAATTGGCTCGGTAAGTCGCACACATCGTTTCAATTGAATTTTTAACCTTATTAAGAATTTATGAGATCATTAATCGAATGTGTCTACACTTTTTGTGGATTTGGGTATTTTTCGGATGGAAATTTAATTCCCATGTTCGTTAACAGTTCACATGATCAAATCGATGCTTCTCTCCGCAGGTATGAGATTCATGCGAGCGCTCCGATTTATGCAAATGGGAGAGATTTTAATGACTTTCAACAGCACGGGAACGTAAGTAGAACTCTAACTAATTAAACTAACGATTAACTTTTAACTTTTAAGTAATAAGTTAGATTAAATTAATTTTATCAATTTTACCTAAGGTATTTTAGTCACTTTACTATGCATATCTTTGTCTCGTTATGGTATATTTCATAAAAATCTTTCCTGAAAATAAATCTTGGTTTGGTAGATTTTCCCAAAGTTCCAAGAAACGAACGTGTGGCTACTTGTAGGGAAGCGATGCACGTTCACTATCATAACACTCATATCGGTGCATTTTCAGTTATCATTTACAAAATTGACTGTAAATGTGTCGCGTGCTCGCCTCACTATAACTAGCCACAGTACTCAATATAAATTGAGGGTCATTATTTTATTCCATTATCACTTTTACTTAGCTTTTAGATTATATCGGGTTCATTAGTTGTGTTTCGAAGATAAAGTAACGCCAGCTTACGCCAAATAGACGATTTGGCATTACGCCAAATAGACGATTTGAACCAAAAAAACAAATGTTTTCTAAGAACATGCCTACGGATTTTGGTAATTCTTCAAATAATTTTAAAGAAATCGAATCATTCTCCGTAAAAATTTCCCAAAAAACACATTGCCTAGATTATTTTAAATTGTCCCCTAATTGTTGCATGCGAGCCCAATAACAGATTAGTTACCCCAAATAAGCTGAAACCATCTAGTTGCCCAATTAAGCCGGTCCCCGAAACGTCCGTTTGGCAAGCTGGAGTTTCTTTATGTGATAGGTTGCTGGGCTCACAGGACAAGGCTCAGAGATCGTAAGACACCAATTTCGTACCTCTTACACGTATTTCTATTGTAAACTACACGTATTTCTAATGTAAACTACACGTATTTCTATTGTAAACTACACGTAATCTTTTGTAAACTACACGTAATCTTTTGTAAACTACACGTAATCTTTTGTAACATACACATTCTTCGTTTGTAAAATACGCGTGCTACTATATCGTAAACTATACGTATTCCTTGTAAACTTAACGTATTTCTATTGTAAACTACACGTATCTTAACGTAATCTTTTCTTTGGTAAACATATGTTTTATCTTGATCTACAAGCGTACTTACATGTACAATGTACGTACATCACTTACCAAATGTATAATGTTATCTCTGCCTGTATCCCCCATGTAAGCTGCATGTCGTACATTTCATACATGTTGTACAATGGACATGCTATACAGTATACATATTGTACAATGTACATTTTATACATTTTGTATATACGTGTATTGCCCTGCTATTTCTTATCGTATTCTGTGGTGCTTCACGCTTACAACCTTTACCTTTTTAAACTTTCATGTGAATCATTTAGTATTACCTCCACACATAATAAGAAACACAACACGCTATTATTTCCGTAGCAGTATTCTATAATGAAGTAAGTAAAACCCTCGATTTATCGTGGTCTTAGTTTAGACTGAACTTCTGGTGGCCGTGGGTAAGTGCATTTTTGTCAGAGAAACTAAAACAAAACTTTTGAGCATTATACTCAGCTTTGTCATTCGTAAATTACCATCGAGCCCATTTACATTATATCCTCCACTTTATTTTGAAGATAATCTACGACCCCTTTGGTACGCCAGTCTTCACGCAAAGCGTTCACCATTCACCCGAAAAACAGAAAGTCAACAGAAATGATAAGTTTAAAAAACCCTTCTGTCTATCTGTGTTCACTGATCAACACACAGAACATGATGAACCTCACTTGCTAACACGGCTCAGCTTGAACACCTTGACTACAATGTCATGAGAACTAACCAAATAACAGTTTATCTGTCCATGTTGTTGTAAGTTTTTTTCCAACATTTCAGTTTTTGTGCGGTGGTTTTTGTGTGGTCGTGGTGTGAAAGGGTGATTTGTGTCACGTGATTAAACATGTGCCGTCTGATTTGTGTTACGTGATTCGTATTTTTTATGTTTCTTTCGCTACCGCTATTCTGCCCGCTATCACTTTTCCTGGGGTCATCACCCAGGCTCCTGGGGATACCACTCTCTTCTGGAGACACCACCCTTTTTTGGAGACACCAACCTCTCCTGGAGACATCAACCTATCGGGGTGTTAACCACTTATCTTGGGTATGCTGTGCAAGGGATATGTTTCTCAGTGCTCATCAAGTGATCCTCCGTAACTCTACCTGGATTGCTGAATCCTTAACTTGGGCACCAAACCCTGTCTGGATTACTGAATCCTTAATTTGGGCACCAAACCCTGTCTGGATTACTGAATCCCTAGATTGAGCACCATACTCTGCCTTGATTACTGAATCCTTAGATTGGGCACCAAACCCTGCCTGGATTACTGAATCCTTAAATTGGGCACCATACCCTGCCTGGATTGCTGAATCCCTAGATTGGGCACCAAACCATGCCTGGATTACTGATTCATTAGATTGGGCACCATACTCTGCCTGGATTATTGAATCCCTAGATTGGGCACCAAACCCTGCCTGCATTACTGAATCCTTAGATTGGGCACCAAGCCCTGCCTGGATTGCTGAATTCCTAGGTTGGGCACCAATCCCTGCCTGAATAACTGAATCCATTAATAGAGCACCAAACCCTGCCTGGATTACTAAATCCTTAGATTGGGCACCATACTCTGCATGGATTATTGAATCCTTAGATTGAGCACCAAACTCTGCCTGGATTACTGAATCCTTATATTGGGCACCAAACCCTGCCTGGATTACTGAATCCTTAGATTGGGCACCATACCCTGCCTGGATTGCTGAATCCCTAGATTGAGCACCAAACTCTGCCTGGATTACTGAATCCTTAGATTGGGCACCATACTCTGCCTGGATTACTTAATCCTTAGATTGGACACCATACTCTGCCTGGATTACTGAATCCTTAGATTGGGCACCAAACTCTGCCTGGACTGCTGAATCCCTAGATTGGTCACCAAACCCTGCCTCGATTACTGAATCCCTAGATCGGGCACTAAATCCTGCCTGGATTACTGAATTCCTAGGTTGGGCACCAATCCCTGCCTGAATAACTGAATCCATTAATAGAGCACCAAACCCTGCCTGGATTACTAAATCCTTAGATTGGGCACCAAACCCTGCATGGATTATTGAATCCTTAGATTGAGCACCAAACCCTGCCTGGATTACTGAATCCTTATATTGGGCACCAAACCCTGCCTGGATTACTGAATCCTTAGATTGGGCACCATACCCTGCCTGGATTGCTGAATCCCTAGATTGAGCACCAAACTCTGCCTGGATTACTGAATCCTTAGATTGGGCACCATACTCTGCCTGGATTACTGAATCCTTAGATTGGGCACCATACTCTGCCTGGATTACTGAATCCTTAGATTGGGCACCAAACTCTGCCTGGACTGCTGAATCCCTAGATTGGGCACCAAACCCTGCCTCGATTACTGAATCCCTAGATCGGGCACTAAATCCTGCCTGGATTACTGAATCCCTAAATTGGGCACCAAACCCTGCCTGGATTACTGAATCCTTAGATTGGGCACCAAACCCTGCCTGGATTACTGAATCCTTAGATTGGGCACCATACTCTGCCTGGATTACTGAATCCTTAGATTGGGCACCAAACCCTGCCTGGATTACTGAATCCTTAGATTGGGCACCAAACCCTGCCTTGATTACTGAATCCTTAGATTGGGCACCAAACCCTGCCTCGATTACTGAATCCCTAGATCGGGCACTAAATCCTGCCTGGATTACTGAATCCCTAAATTGGGCACCAAACCCTGCCTGGATTACTGAATCCTTAGATTTGGCCTAAGAGTGGTCAACATCATCAAATTGTCAAAGTAGTAGTCGTGATGGTGACTAATTAAGCGCTATATTGTGAGTTCTACCTATGTGTAAAATGTTGCTACTCTTAAAACCGCCGCTCTCTTGAATATTCGAGACTAAAAAGAAGGAAAAACACTCGGTAGTCTTTGAATTGTTACTTTTCAACCGTTCCATTTGAATTATCCAATTGCCCCCGTTCTTTGATTGCCACTGATAAACAGTCACTTGAGGTATTCGTACGGTCTCAAGTACTTATCATTCAATAGCTCCTCGGCATTCGTGGTATTTGTTCCAGAACATACCATCTAGGGCTTCTTCAAGTTCGTTTAACTCTATCTTAAACAGTGACATAGGCGGTATTGCCCGACGTACTGTGTATTCACTATATCTGTTGCTACAAGAAGGAATGTGTATAATATCCGAAACCGCCCGAAGAAAGAAAAAGAAACGTATACTGACGCTGGATTGATAACTGCTGAATATTGCCAATATTATTCTATCTGGCTGCTAACGAAGACCCATTCTGCCGGTCTAATCAAACAGTTGTCCTCTGGTATTCTCTCCCCTGCAGAAACAGAAAGAGAAACAGAAACCAGGTTCCATCTTCACTTCGCCTCTGGTTCAAGGTTCGAGTTATAGTATGATGGGCTTGCAGCTCTAGCTACCTTGCAACGTGACACCACGTCATCCGGCTTAGCGTGCTAAAGCTATTTTGACCACTCGTAATCTAATGTGATCTACCGAAGACTCTAGTCAGATCTTAAACTCTACCGGACTCTACCATAGCAACCGGGCTATAGTGTCTCCATAGTACTGAACGTCCAATGTGATTTCACACCACGTGTTGTGACGTCATACCACGTGACGTGACGTCATAGTACTGAACGTCCAATGTGATTTCACACCATGCTCTTGTCCCTTGTCTCGACTAGTCTCATGTCTCCCCCGGTGTCTGCGCACTCGCCCCAATTCTCGTCCCTAATACCTCCTCTAATAGCGTCGTATCATTTGGTGGTGGTGGCGGCGGTGGCGGCGTACGACGGCGCACCTGGAACAAGCCGTTCAGTGGGGCCGGACAGAGTGGGGGACCGCCCGACTCGGATGTAGGCCGTTCTCACAGCCGCAGGTAACGGTGATTTGGCGGTCATTTGACCAGCAGTCACCCGATTTACAGTCTTGTGACGTGCAGTTTACTGACGACAAGTGTGTGCGTGTGATTTCTCTTAATCCGTTTATTTTACTCCTGTTTTTTTGATGTGACGTTTCGTCACACCACGTGTTGTGAGTCACATCACGTGACGTCACAACACGTTTCGTGATCATATCTTGTGTGTTTTGCCTGCTAAATTCCTCTCAAATCACAATTCTGTGTGTTAACTTAATAAAAAGAATAAGAAATCTCCACGCATGACTGAGAATTGTAATTTTGCTCTCTGTTACTGATCGCTTGATCTGAATACTCTGTGTGATAAATGATCACTAAACTGACTTCTTCCCATCTCATCCCTATATCCGGATTTGAGGATCAAAATTTCTTATCTATTAAAAAGTACTCAGTATCGCTTATGTGGTCAATGGTTAAGTGCTTACGTAATAAATAGTAAGTACCTAGCTAATTAACACAATAAGTACTGCTACAGCTATAGAGCAACTTATGAAATATCGGATTGATATCTTGTATCACCGCAATCTAATGACCACGTATCAGTGTAATATTACAACTTATTAAGGAATTTGGAAGTGGTTTAAAGAATTGGGGATCCGTCTTTAAGCACCTTTCGCTAACCTTAACCATAGGTTAGCTATGTAACAAGTAAGTTTAATTTGATGTCGTTATGCTCACTGTTCTGCCTCTCTTCTGGATAAACGGTGGTATTCAATTACTTTTAGTAACTTAAATGTTCTTATTTGAGAGCACACTTTACTTAGCGTAATGTTATCTAAATATCTTAAACAGCGAGCTGCATAAACAACTCAAAGGCAAACGTCGGGAATAGTTTGCACCAAATCTTACGTAGATTTAAGATTTTCTACATTTCATACTTTGTTTCACAACTTCTAAAATATGACAACAGTCATAGATCATAATAGTTAAGACACAATACACTACACATATTGAGACACAATACACTACACAAGTTAAGACACAATACACTACACAAGTTAAGACACAATACACTACAGAAGTTAAGACACAATACACTACACAAATTAAGACACAATACACTACACAAGTTAAGACACAATACACTACACAAGTTAAGACACAATACACTACACAAATTAAGACACAATACACTACACAAGTTAAGACACAATAGTAATACACTACACAAATTAAGACACAATACACTACACAAGTTAAGACACAATACACTACACAAGTTAAGACACAATACACTACACAAATTAAGACACAATACACTACACAAGTTAAGACACAATACACTACACAAGTTAAGACATAATACACTACACAAGTTAAGACACAATACACTACACAAGTTAAGACACAATACATCACACATAATTGCCCAGCTCGGTGGATGTAAGGGGTGGTAATAGGAACAAACTGGATAAAGCTGCATTACAAGTCAATGACGCTCGCTTCACAAAAGTAAAGGGCCCCCGGTTCAGTGGCAAGGCAAGTGGAGCGCCCCCCAAAAAGAGTGAGCCGGGAACGAAACAAGTGAAACAGAAAATGACAGCGAGGAAAGCAGACCCGGGCGGGAAGAAGGGAACGAGCGGAGGAGGCGGAGGAGGAGGAGGAGGGATGATGGAGCAAGATAGCGGGTATCTGACCGCATGAGCGCAACATCAGCAGCAGCATGAGTCACATACTCCTGCACGTGCAAATACGTGCACACGTGTCACGCGCACTGTGCACGTGTCACTCCGCATGAGAGAATCAGGATATCCCTGCACCTAACAGCACAGAGCAGCTGTGCCTCCTGCTGGCAGCACCGCAGACAAAATCGAGATCAGGGTTATATGCGATATCGTGATCATCAAAACGCCGATATCATGGCAGTTCCCCTACAATTAATACCCTTTATCTGGCTTAAAAGAAGTGTCTCAATCAGCATTGTCGCCCATGATTCCAAGTGATGAGATAACAGTCACAGCTGTGATAAGGCGGTCCTGACCTTTGAACAGCAGATAATCGCAATCAGTAACTACGCTTTTAATCAATTTACTTATTTCAGACAGAGTAATTTTTAATAATATGAAGCTCCCGCATGTAACGCTGTGCCTACTCTTTTAGCTTTATCATCATAGCATACACTGTCTCCTTCTTTTTAGTGAACATGGTGTTTTGTGAGTTTATATCTTCTGACATGTACGGAAATATCTGAACAAGAATTCAGCTCACAGTATGTTGAATGAGTAACCGAATTTGCCCCTAACAAATTGATTATTGATTAACGATTCTGAATGTGTTGCTAACATTTCATCTCCCGGTATTTTCCCGTTCCGCAGTCTTCAAACCAAGACCTTTACTTACATCATAAAATTATCACTTATCAAACCGTTAAAATGAAACCAGAATTTGGGAAAACTTGATTTCAGATATTGAGGGGTAAATTTGGTTACTCATCCAGATCAAGTTTACCTAGACTCAATCAAGTATCTTAGTATTTAATTAGACTTATTGAACTTCTGGGTTGAGTAACAGGTAGACATTGGTCTACCTTTTGTTTTATCTAACCTTCTAAAATACACGCGAATCGTCTAAAATTGGACTAACGGTGCATTGAAACCTCCCTGTAGTGTTACATGCATCCACCTTATGTCAGGTATATAATTTGTATAAGTCATATTATGGGGTATTTAGTTTTCTTCTGTTTGGATAATATGAGTGGAGGTTCCTCTGCTTCACACAACTCATGGAACATTTCCTTTTCATTATTCAAATTAAGTTTAAAGAGTAATAAACTTACTTATTGAATTAATTAGTAAGTAGTGAACTTATTCTCGAACTGAATCATGGTTATTATATTGGAGGTAAGGTTAATAACATTATTTTATTATAAATAAGTTGTGTTTATTAGGTTGTTAATTAATGATTATCACTAATACGTTCGTCTGTGTCCGTCAGTCAGTCTGTCAGTTTCTCTGTCAGTTAATTGAGTAATTAAGTTAATTAAGTATCGAGTAATTAAGTTAATTAAGTATCGAGTAATTAAGTTAATTAAGTATCGAGTGGGTAATGTTATTCTTCTAGAGAGGAAGATCAACGAGCGGAAAAAAGAAAGTATGTGCATGTAAATATTATCATATCAGGCAGCATGTTGTTATGGAATATAAAATTGCAAGAAAATTCCCTTACAAGCTTAACACAGGCCACACCGCTAGATCCTCCCAATTGAAGGACTCTGACTTTCACTTTCGGTTTCACTTTCGGTTTCACTTTCGGTTTCACTTTCGGTTTTTAACGAAGCACGTTCTGTAACAATCGTTAAAGAATCAATAAAATCAGAGTCCTTCAATGATCAGCTCCTGATTCCTCAATATAACAGTCTTGTCTTCAATCATCCTCCCCAACCGTAGCACTTACCTTGTTTTTAACTTGTCTGTTTTTCAATGATCGAGTAATCCACCAAGAACTAATCACTTAAATATAAATAACAGTTTAATTGATCAGTTGTAATTCTTATTACAACTAATTGATTAATTGTTACTATAATTGCTTGTGAGATGTGATCAGAAACAATCATTTCGTAGAATGCAGTTTAAAATCATTTGAAAAGTTCTTGAAACATTTTCTTTTTTGCCAAAATTTTTGGAATTCTTCGAATCTCTGCAGATCCTGCAGCTGTATATATATTATAACTAAAGCACCACCTTATTTTCTACTGCTTTTAAAAGCCGCGCTCTTAGCTAATATCACTTTTGCTGCTCTAAACCAGACATTTTAGCCTTACTTTCAGTGACAAATTTACAAACAAACTTACAAACAAACTTACAAACAAACTTACAAACAAACTTACAAACAAACTTACAAACAAACTTACCAAAAAACTTTCAAACAAACTTTCAAACAAACTTACAAACAAACTTACTTTAACAAACTTACTTTAACAAACTTACCAACAAACTTCCAATAAACCTACTTTAACAAACTTACCAACAAACTTACTAACAAACTTACCAACAAATTTACTAACAAACTTACTAACAAAATTACTAACAAACGTGTGATCATTCAAAGAAGCTTACAGACGAAGACTGTACGATCTTGGCACCGTGACAAATTAAATCTGTAAAGAGTTATTCCTTGAAAATTTAAAGCCATGACAGTTTAAACTGAGAACAGTCAAGATTGTGACGATTTAGGACAGTAAAAAGTTGAAACCGTAACCATTTACGACCGTGACAAGTTGAGAACGTAACTTTACGACCGTGACAAGTTGAAACCGTGACAAGTTTAGAATTTGATGAGTTGATACTGTGATTCTGTGTATTTGACTATTCAACACTGTGACCAATCGGCGACAAATTGAGATTGCATGACAGGTCCGTCATTATTTAAGACCAAGACAACTTATATAAGTTAAGACTGTGACAATTTGAGACTGTTAAATTTTAAGACTGTGACAACTTACGGCTATGACAGTTTACGACCGTTAGAACTTGAGACTCTGGCAAGTTGATACCGTGACAATTTACGACCGTAAGAATTTGAGAACGTTCAACGTGATACTTTACGACCGTGGCAATTTGAGACCGTGACAAGTTGATACCGTGACAGTTTACGACCGTGACAAGTTGAGAACGTAACTAACTGTCATAATTTCACCAGGTCTATTGTTCAGTTACTAGTTCTGATGTTAGACTTCGTGAGTGTTTGGTTGTTTGCTGCCGGATTCGTTCACTTGGTAAGTAAATTAAAAAGCCAAATATTCACTTGGTTAGTAAATTAAAAAGCTAAATATTTGCTATGGAATTTCGTTTTCATCCGAAACAATCAGACAGCCATATAGAAGCATTTTGAGCCGTTTTGATACTACCATAATATGTATATATACAGTCAATCTTTTTACCGTCCAATTGAGAAAGTGATGAAAGTTTGTCTATATATAGACAAACTTTCATCACTTTCTCAATTGGACGGTAAAAAGATTGACTGACCACGAACTTATAATTGAGTTCATCCATTTCAAGAGCTACAAAACGAAGGTGGTTTTACAACTTTTTCCGGTTGCAAGGCTTTCAAATGGTCGCTAACTTCTTATATTATAGGTTGAGAACTCTGGTGATCCCTGGAAGCCGAACAGCGCGAGGACGGACAACTTCACCTACTTTGATTCAGTGTGGCTCACCATGGTGACCATGAGTACAGGTTTGCTCCCTATCTGATGTTAATTAATTAATTATTGATTCATCGATTAAGTAATACCTGATATTATTATTTTTATCATGGTACAGGGTTACTGCGGATAGCTGATATTACAACTTGATTTATGATTATAATCTTAATATTAACTAAAACTAATTACATAATCACTTAATTAATCATCGTAAGTAATCCCAAAAGTAGTAAAATAAATTACATAACTGATATATATAATTATCGTAAAAAAATGCATAACTTATATTACTGATGGAAAAACGGTGTCCTCACAGCAAATTTGAGGAATCCTCTGTCCATTTTTTCTCGAATGTTTTCAACCTTTCTCAAATTTGCCCCACTCTAAAAATGTATCTCAGTTGGTTACGGTGACGTGTACCCTACCACGGGAATTGGGCGCTCCTTCATGATGGTATTCATTGTTTGCGGTCTGGCGATGTTTGCTACTTACACGCCATACCTCTACGAGTTCTACAGGAGCCGATCACCCTACGCCGGCAGATACGAGCGAGCTGATAGTAAAAAGTAAGTGACATCTGATCTGATCTGATCACCTCGCATCTGGTCACATGGTCCACAATATTTATTTTCTGCCGTCATTGATTAGAATAGAATCATTTTAAGATTATGCAGATTAAAGGACCAGTTAACTGAAAAAAAAGTTATCCTCATATTTTGACAGATTGTGACAAATAGCAAACTAAGCAACGAGTCGAAATTCCTAAATCTCTAACTGCTCTCTAACGCGTGTAAATAGCGTTTGTATTATTTTGGCGATGACGTCATAAAGTCCCTTGCGCGCGCAGAAGAGCTCGTGAGACTGTATTTTACAGGTAGAAAATGGACATAATACAATGTTTTTCCCCGAATAACTCGAAAAGTAAGTAATTTAGGGTACATGTTGCTTCATAAGTTGTATATAAACATGGCCATTCTGCACAATTTGCACACATTCAAAAACCTTTAGGGCCTTCATAGCCCAATTTACCAGATACCCATAGTTTTGCATGATTTCTGGAACCGAAAATCAGTTTTTCGCCAATAACTGAAAAAGTAAGCACTTTAAGGCATATGTTTGTTCGTAAGTCATATATTAATATGCTAATTGCGGTTCTTTTGCACCCTGTCTAAAGACTCTATCACGATCCTATCGAAAATGGGCTGAGCACCACGCCCAAAATGGTTTTTGGCGAATTTCTCGAAAAGTAAGGATTTTAGGCCATGTGTTGCTCAATAACTCCTATATAAACATGCATATGCGGCTTCGTTTAAGCCTATTTTGAAGTCTCTACGACCTTCAGAAGCAAGGGGTCGGTTACGTTATTGGGTCAATATGGGCGTGGCCCTCCTGGGTTTTCTCCACGGTCAAAAAAATGTCTCCAAACGAAAATCGTTTATTCATACCTTCGGGAAGGTCTGTGCAAAGTTTCGTGAGTATCTGAACATTTGCGGGTTCATTTCCATAAATGTCCATAAATGACTGGACTACACAACTTTAGAGTTAACTTTAGAGAAACTCATAAGTCATTTATCTCAAATTAAGCTGTTAGTGTCCATGATCAGCCTGTGGCGACAATGTTTTACGTGAAATGTAAAAATCAGGAGTAATATAAAAAGTGTATTTTTAGATTAAAGTGCTAGCTCATAGTTTTAGAATTGTATAGATTAACGTTGGTCGTTTAGCCATCTAACAATCGATCGTGCCGTAATATATGGCCAAAGAATAATAGGGTCTTGGAAATTCTATAGTTGTTCAGTGGGTCGATTGACTGAACACGTTTGCACTTGGTATTTAAACTTACCAGTAGTTTATTTATGTTATGTACCGATGATAATGCAATTAGGATAACAACTAGGTAAGCCGTAAGTCTAATTCAAAACACACCGCACACCGTACACTCGAATCAGTATTACTATTTGGTAGACCGGGTATTTTGGCGGGAATTCTGTTCCCATGGCACTGTTCTGATAGAAGCTACTTCTACTAATGGTCCCAGAGGAACGGCCGTAAAGTAGCCAGACTTCTTGTCTCCTATACTGGCTGACACATGCCAATCCAAAATTATCACATATGACATAAGTAATTGTAATAGCAGAAACTTTCTAACCGTACATTCACCCGCCACTGTTCAAGAACCTATATCACTGTTTAAAATCATGACGTGAGCACTGTACATCCAATCAGCTATTCCTTTAGTTAGGATGATAGCCAAAACTATAAGGATTTTGGAGAACTAGGGAAATAGTCATAATTCTAAAATTTGAGTGAGTTACAGGTGTTTTATTGACAACGATAAACATTTGCAACGTATATTACGCTATGCCAGCGCGCACTGAGGGACTTTATGACGTCACGAGGCCACAGCTTATTATTGCAATAACACGCGTTACACGTACGCTAGAGAGTTGGTTCTTTCGGCGATACGATTCTTTACCGGTTTGTCACAGCTGATTTAAATCTTAGCCAAATTGGAGACTACAAATTTTTCAGTTAACTGGTCCTTTAAATAGCTCAAGTAACGTTCATTGCAGACAATAACTCTTTTCAATTAACGATAAAATATGTTATTAATATTATAGATATTTTTGCAGATATTTTGGTCTTGTGTAAATGTAATTGTAATGCATTGATGTAAAATTTATTTGAATTTTGAAATAACTAATTGCTTATAATGATAATTTTGTTTCAGATACGTAGTAGTTTGTGGACATATTACCTACAACAACGTAAAATCTTTTTTAGCGGACTTTCTTCATCCGGACAGAGGAGATCGCACTAGCAGAGTCCTTTTTCTTGACAAGTTAGAGATAATTGTTTTTTTTTGTCTTTCACTTTCATTTTGTGTCGACAGTTTCGCTTTCAATTTTGTTATAATATAGTCGTAAGCTTACGCTTTGGTACCAAGATTTGTATTTTACTTGAAAAATTTGAAATTTATCAACAGATTGTTGTTTCAAATCATTAAATGTGTAGACATGTTTTCATTGGATGAATCATGAAAGTGAAATTGAAATTAACAGGGGTTATTTTTCAGTAAGCGTCCTGAACCGGAATTGACTGGTCTTATTAAGCGCTATTTTTTAAGTGTTCAGTATTTTGAGGGGTCTGCCTTGAATCACAATGATTTACGGCGAGTTCAGGTTAGTTTCATATTATATTCCTGTATTTTTGTCGCCGAAACCATTTTATCTTCTATTCGTAGGAATGCCTTAAGTTCAAAAATCAAATTTCATAAAAAACTTTGAAATACAAACACCATATTTGAGGTCTGCCACATTATGAAGCAATTAGTGATTCAATTAAATAATTAGTACACTGTAATTACTTCTTTCAGTTAGAGCATTCAGACGCGGTCATTCTGTTGTGTAACAAAGATTCTGATGATACGAAGTCCGAGGATGCAGCTACTATACTAAGAGCTGTGAGTGGGGCGGCGGCTTTTTTCTTCGTTTTATGAGTCGGAGCTCATATATTGTCAATATTGTACATGATCATCATCGATTTTTTTGCTACCATTTTAATCTGACATGACAAAATAAAATTGTCTGTATTAAATTTGACGGATAAAAATCCTCAGATATCAGTAAAGAACTACTGCAGTAAAGCTCGGCTTATTATGCAGCTTCTTAACTATAAATCTAAAAGCTTCCTTCAAACAATTCCTAATTGGGACCCTATTAACTACAGAGACGAAAATATTTGTATTAGTGAGGTATGTTGATTGTTTTTCCGTATTTACTATTAATTTTACTAAAAGATATTCCATAAGACATCTCCTTTTAAAATGCATAAGAATTAGTTATAATCATCGTTCAACAATATGTCTTAAATTCGGAATATTTACATTTCACCCAGTGTTTATTCTAATTATTCCTAATTATTCCTAATTATTCTTAATTATTCCTGATTATTCTTAATTATTCCTAATTATTCCAAGTTTTCAGAGAAGTTGATAGTTTTCTTTCAGTTCATGTACGGGTTAGTTGCACAGAGCTGCTTGTGCCCTGGATTCTCTACATTAATGATAAACCTCATCTCAACCCGTTCCTACATTCCTGGGGTAGGAAATTGTTCCGTGGCAGTTACTTTAATGACGTCACGCTCCTTTAATGACGTCACGTTCCTTTAATGACGTCACGCTCCTTTAATGACGTCACGTTCCTTTAATGACGTCACGCTCCTTTAATGACTTCATGTTCCTTTAATGACGTCACATTTCTTTAATGACGTCACGTTCCTTTAATGACGTCACGCTTATTTTGTTTCATATTTTGGAGACTTGTTGAATATTTTGAAAACGTAACGCCTTTTTAATGACGTGATCTTCATGTTAATTCACTTTTTTAAGGCGCTTAAAGGTGACTTAAGTAGCCTAGTAAAACTTGAAAAAGTTGACTTACCTTGTTTAGAACGAGAAGACAAACGAGAATTTGGACTGGAAATCAGATTATGCGTATGGTTGTGATCACGAAATCTACACTGTCATGATCAGCAGTGATTTCAACGGCATGACCTTCCCGGAAGCAGCCGAGTCAGTTTACTTTTATTTTTGTTCCATGACCTGTTAATGATCTCGTCTTTACATCAAAGCGTTGATTTTATTTCCGTTTTGTTTTCAATGTCATTTTCACTTTCTACCCGCCCTGCTCTCTGTCACAAACTCATACCCAGGATATGTTACAAGCAGTTGAACCTGTTGATGATCGCTGTTGAAAACTTCGATAACTCCGGATTAGCCATTAATCCGTTACCGGACCAGTTTACGATACGGAAGGAATGTCTCGGTTACTTCATCGCCTCCTCGTATAAAGATGTTTGCAGGTTTGGGATCCATTAGTTAATCACTACTCAATTAGTAGTAGTCAATTACTAGTTAATTAATTTCAAATATGATGACGGACACAGAATTTATATAAAATCTGTTTTAACGGAAATTTTTAACGGTTACTGATTGAAAAGTTCTTCGTCTTTAACAATATTTGATTCACAAAACTTCTTTTCTGAATTTTAATTACATATTTTTCTTTCAGGGCGAGGTTTTACTGTGCCCTTTGTTTAAATGAAGGTATTGAGATCGGGTTCAAACCTTGTAAATGCCGACTGGAAGCAGGTTAATATTTCAGCTATTTATTAGTTACTGGTTGTAAACTTTTAAAAAGTTGATAAGATGTTCGTAGCTGGTTTATACTTTAAATAATATTATTCATTGCTATTATTGCACATTTTTGCATGCTATCAGTTTATAAATAAATTATCATTTTCGTTATTGAAAAAGTATAATTTGAAACGTAGTTATTGCTTGCTAGTTGCTATTATATGTTATTTTGTTAGAAATTTGCCATGAAATTTTAGAAACAGGTGATCAGAAGATTTCTTTAAATGCGGAAAGTTAGTGTTTATTGTGCGCTGTTTGCTATATACTACAAGTATTGTTTTTTAATTCATTTGTGCCATTAAAGCTGTAAATTTGCTACAAGTTTTGTGTTTACTATAAGTATGCCATAAGTTTGCTACATATTTAGTGTAAACTAACAATTTGCCATAAGTTTGCTACATATTTAGTGTATACTATAAGTTTGCTACATTTTCAGTGTTTAAGTTATAAGTTTGCCATAAGTTTGCTACATATTTAGTGTATACTATAGGTTTGCCATGAGTTTGCTACATATTTAGTGTTTACTATAAGTTTGCCATGAGTTTGCTACATATTTAGTGTTTACTATAAGTTTGCCATAAGTTTGCTACATATTTAGTGTTTACTATAAGTTTGCCATAAGTTTGCTACATATTTTGTATATACTATAAGTTTGCCATAAGTTTGCTACATATTTAGTGTTTACTATAAGTTTGCCATAAGTTTGCTACATATTTAGTGTTTACTATAAGTTTGCCATAAGTTTGCTACATATTTAGTGTTTACTATAAGTTTGCCATAAGTTTGCTACATATTTAGTGTATACTATAAGTATGCCACAAGTTTGCTACATATTTAGTGTATACTAACAATTTGCCTTAAGTTTGCTACATATTTAATGTATACTATAAGTTTGCCATGAGTTTGCTACATATTTAGTGTTTACTATAAGTTTGCCATAAGTTTGCTAGATATTTAGTGTTTACTATAAGTTTGCCATAAGTTTGCTACATATTTTGTATATACTATAAGTTTGCCATAAGTTTGCTACATATTTTGTATATACTATAAGTTTGCCATAAGTTTGCTACATATTAAGTGTTTACTATAAGTTTGCTACATATTTTTTGCTACATATTAAGTGTTTACTATAAGTTTGCTACATATTGTTTGCTACATATTAAGTGTTTACTATAAGTTTGCTACATATTGTTTGCTATATGTCACGTGCTATACTCGCTGCTAGTTACCCGCCCATTTCCAGCTGTTCCTCAACTATCTACCGTTCCTGCAGCTAAAAAGAAACGATCTAACGTCCAACTCATTCCCCTTTCTGAGCACAAATCCCCCAACAACAATGAAACAGGTTTCCCATCTTTTTTATTTATTTATATTTCTCAGGTTTCACTGTTATTTTCTCCGAAAGAAAAAATTTTGCTAGAAATTGAGAAATAAATTCATCTGAAATTCGCAAATCAAATTATTGGACCGGCAAAGAAATTTGGGATCCAAGCTGGTCCGTAATGTGTCACTGAAGCTGCCATAGGAGTGACGTATAATTTCATGACATTTCGCGCCAATTAGCCAATTAGCCTACAGATGTATTCCATCTGGGATTCAGCTAATGAAGTGGTACTTGTCACTTGTCAAACAAGTATCCAGTCACGTGACAACAATATCGTTATTTGATTGGCTAATAACGGTCAGGTCTGACGCGTGTAGGAAGTGTAGACTCCAAATCCTCGACAGCGACAGATATCAACCAGCTCCGAACCGTCCGACATCTTTTCTCTCAGCATTCGGTATGCAAGCATTTTATATTTATATCGTCATTAGATTTCTATCGTCATTTTTATAGTTAAGAAGCAAGCAATTAGCCTCCTGGCATTTTTGTTTTCTACTAATCGAGCTTATCGAATGTCCTGAACTGTTCGTTAATTGCAATTGTATAGGATCTGATCTTATCTTGTCGAAAATCATCGCGCGAACTAATTATTATTTGTTAATTGTTATTAATATTAAATATCACTAATGATTATTAAATATCTCACCTTTAGACGAAGTCCACATCAGTGGACCGAGGAACGCTGACTGGAGCCGGAATGTCAAGCACGTTCGACCCCACAGGCAACTACCACTGGTCCCCCGAGAAGAAGTTTGAGGACGTCGACTTGGTGAGTCTGCTGTGCTCTGTCACGTGCCATGCGGAATTGTGACGTCATCAAATGGATAACATTCACATATTTCACATATTTTACATTCTTGCTACAACTTCAAATCACTGCAGCTGCTCTACCAGTAAAATAGAATGTTGCATCTGCACTGCTGTGACCTGCCCGCATTAAATAGATATTATTATTTCGCTCCCCTGCCCTCCTCACCTGAAAAATGAGGTTGACATCACGCTTGCTCTATCACATGATATATCACATGATATAATACACAATGTAGCCTGGACTTCAGAACGATTCTGTAGGTTCAGCACTTTGAGTTGAAAGTGCAACTGCATAGAAATGAACAATTATTGCTTGTACAAACAGTTATTATTACACGGCACGGAAAAGATAGATTATTATTATTATCCTGATTGACGCGGATCATGGTAATGGTTTAACATGGGTATTGAGGTGTTTGTGTTGTGTTGTAATTATTCATTATTTGTTTGTCATAATTACTTTACAGTGTGAACACTCAGGAAACTTTTCAAGAGGTGAACATTAAAAATAAACGCTTATTATGGACATAAGCCGTTACTGGATCAGAATAACGACCATTACTTGCACCATGGTTGTGTTTATTGAGCAGAACTTGAATAAAAACCTGGGCCAAAACTTGGACCATGCCTGTCTTTAACCGCAACCTGAATATGAACAAAACTTGGACCATGCTTGTCTTTAACCGCAATATGAATATGAACAAAACTTGGACCATGCCTGTCTTTAACCGCAATATGAATATGAATAAAACTCGGACCATGCCTGTCTTTAACCGCAACCTGAATATGAACAAAACTTGGACCATGCCTGTCTTTAACCGCAATATGAATATGAACAAAACTTGGACCATGCCTGTCTTTAACCGCAACCTGAATATGAACAAAACTTGGACCATGCCTGTCTTTAACCGCAACCTGAATATGAATAAAACTTGGACCATGCCTGTCTTTAACCGCAACCTGAATATGAACAAAACTTGGACCATGCCTCATGCCTGTCTTTAACCGCAACCTGAATATGAACAAAACTTGGACCATGCCTGTCTTTAACCGCAACCTGAGTATGAACAAAACTTGAACCAGAACATGAAACAGAATTCGAACAATGCCTGTCCTAACCCAGATCCTAAAATTGAAAAAAAGAACATGAACGAATTTTTCACCACCTTAATTTAAATATTTCTAAATTTATCCATCACCAATAAACTAACCCTGATATCTCTATTGATGTTGTATTGAATGGTTGATACACAAGATCTCTGTCGCCGTATTCAATCATATCTGTCATTGTCACAGATATTGTTTTTATTGTCACAGATCTGTCAAATTGTCATGTTGTCACTTCACATCCTGTGACGTAACACGCGATTCATGTGGTAACCCTATATGTCGATAACAGGCAGGCTACATTACGAAGGAGTACCAGTACAAGCCCGATGATGCAGAGGCAATCAACCAGAGGGTTGTCATCAAGTACATAAACGAGGTAAGAGAATATTCTGTCATTTGTATATTTGTACCGTCATCTCCTGTTTGATGACGTCATCTCCTGTTTGATGACGTCATCTCCTGTTTGATGGCATTATTGGATTAATATGACTCTGGTGGTTTTCCAGCAGAGGATGTTTTTTTGTACTTTCAATACAAATTCGATGTGTCCACACGTTTATCGTCTGTCTATATCCTAGTTAATTTGTCTGATACCATTTCGTCTCAAGTTTTGATCGCCACTTTGATTCACCCGGCCTCTTAATCGTCGTGAACATTCCACCTCTTCTTCTTATATATATCATGTAAATTCAACATATAATGTGTTGGTGCAGCCGTTAGTTTCTGTATTTGTGTCATTGTGACGTTTTAAAGCTCCCACGTCATATACAGCACCGTAGCATATGTTGTCCGCTATATAGACGTATAGAGCCAGTATCTCTTCATATTTAGTAATTAGTTGATTATTTTGTGGTCATCGCTTGCACGAAAATGCTTATATTGGGAGATCGAAGCATGACAAGTAAAATAATTGCACCCTGGCAAACTCTAAAACCCCAGGCAAGCGTTTCGTGCACGTGCAATTGCGCGTTTCGCATGTTTGGGGACAAACAGGTGATTTGCTAAGTGAATGAGCCTTACAGCCCGAGCCCTAGCTTTACTTTCTACTTCTTAACCAATCAATGATAAAATCAATGATATAACCAACTGACTGATAAATGATTACTATGCTGTACCTTGCTACATTATGATTAATTTTACTTAATTAATTGCATGAATTGAGTCATGAATTGATAAAAATACGATTTAAAGAATAAATGATAAAACTTATTGAACATCAATTTATCAATTAGAGGTCGCAAATACTAGTTCTTGTGAAAATTAACCAATAAATTCTTATGAATTAAATTTCTCATGCTAATTAACCAATTAGTTGTTATAAACACTAATAACTGACTTAATCACCTTTACAGAAAGACCACGAGTTAAACAATCACATAGTGATTTGCGCTTTCGGGGACGACAAAACACCAATATCAGGCCTGTCTAGTCTTATCAAGCCACTCCGCGCCAGTAATCTTCCTTATAAGGTACGGATTATTAATGTTTCCTTAGATTGAGGGTTATTTCCTTATAAGTAAATAAATATAATTTTATTGATGATAATAAAATATGGTGTGTTTCCTTATTAAAAGGTAAAATTTCATCCCTTATGTTTTCAAAATATAGCATATTTGCTATTCCTCATGAAATACTACATTAGAATAAATTATGTTTGAGATATCTGTTTACATCAAGAATTGAAAGTTTAAATTTCATATTTAAGAAAAATGCTGGTTTAAACAAAAGTAATTTCAGAAATTGAAAGTTGTTTTACTTCTCGCCGAGAAAGATTTCCTTTTGAAAGCCTGGAAAGAACTTCGACACTTCCCAAAAATCCGTGTTCTTTGCGTGAGTATATTCAATTCATAGTTTTACTTAATTAAACTATTCATAACACCTTAATTAAACTATTCATAACACCTTGAAATAGAAGAAACTGTTGTCATGCCATTGGCTGCATTGTAATTCAAGTTTCAACCAAACAGTTTGGAGATTGTCCATAGATTGTAAAACAATTTTTGTTCTAACGTGCACTATTCTTTCAGGGTTCAGCATTGGACAGAAGTAAATTAAAACGAGCGTTCATAAACCGAGCCAGCATGGTGGTCATTCTGTCGAACTACGGGAAAAGAATGGCATACAAAGATCCCTTCCTTTTAGATAAAGTAAGTAGGCTGAAGAGTCCGTTTCGTTATCTAATTAGTTTATCATATTAGTTAGTAGTATTAGGGTCATTATCTTTATCATATTAGTTAGTAGTATTAGGGTCATTATCTAATTAGTTTAATTATCTAATTAGTTTATCATATTAGTTAGTAGTATTAAAAAGGTCTTCTCTTTGAGGACGCTACCGTCGTATGAAACCAAGTGATATTTTATTTTTAAATTATTAATGTTCTCGTGAACTTTTCAGGAGCCAATATTGGCATGTCTCAATCTCCCTCAAGTGGCTGGCAAATCAGAAAATTCAAAACCCGTGGAGTTTATTGCGGAGCTCGTCAACGATTCCAATGTTCATTTCCTCGATCAGGTAATTCTAGCTTTTGCTGGTAAAATCTTTTATGGATAAAAATCTCTGTTGAGCAACTCATATGTTTAAGAACCAAGATTTAATACGCCATTTCGGGGCAAAAACGTTTTAGCAGAATTCCCAGAGATTGATTCACCTTAACGGTTAACCAGAAGGTTTATATCAAATTCAAATACTTTAACGGGAGGAACTGAATTTCCATTATTTATTTATTATTTATTTTATATTTATTTATAAATTATGTTGACTTTTGCACCATAAATCTAATCATCGAGTTCAATATTTGAGAAATAAACATCAAATGGTCGGGGGCTGATAGATTTTTAATCGCTAAAATGTCAATATTTTACTTCAGGATAACGAAGATGAACCTGACATAGAATTACATTTGACAATGAAGTTCGCACAGGGCAGCTGCATTACCGCTACAGCTTTAGATACACTCATGAGTGAAGCGTATTATAATGACGAGGTGAGAGGAAAAAGTTGTAAATTAATTTAATTATTCAGTTAACAAAAATGACAACTCACACAAATTCCAGTTATATCATATTAATAATGTTTCCCTTTTTCACCGACTTGCCAGCATGACCCCAATTCATTACTCGAAAACCAACCCATCACTAATTCATCACCTCACTTCCCCATTTACATAACCTCCAATTAATCCCAGGTAATGACGTTGGTACGGGCACTCATAGCAGGAGCAAACGTCCCCGAATACGACGCCGAGGACGAGGAACATTCCGGGCCACTACAAGTCCCCGCTAACGCGCTCTGTGGCTCCCAGTGTCGGGTGATCAGGATCAAAGCAGAGGAGCCCAGTCTCAGCGAGCACATCAAGGGTAAAGCTTATAAAGACGTGTTCGTGGAGCTGCTCCAAAAGTTCAACCTGTTGTGTCTGGGACTCCACCGCGCTATTGACTGGCACGAGGAAATCAGTGTGGAACACAAACGCTTCGTGTACATCAACCCGCCCGGAGAAACGAAGATCGTAGCATCGGACTACTTGTACGTGATTGTGCAGACGTCCAAACTGCAGCCCCCCACTGAGGTCATGTTGAACAAGATAAGGGACACCATGTTGAGGAAGGGCAGCACGCCTGAACAGCCGGACAGTAAACTCACCCGACAGAACAAAGTCGACACCGAATCAGGTTTAATTAATTAATTAATTAAATTTGAGTAATTTTTAAATCCCTTAGTTATTTTATACCAATTACTTGGACAAAGTTCAAATTATGATGATGACTGTAAATTTCGCTTTTCAAATGTTTTCGCCAAATTTTTGATGGTTTCAACTTATATAATTGATGTTTTGGGATAAAGTCATCAATTATATATAATATATCTTCGTCCCAAAACATCAATTATATGGTCGAGCCACTCAAAAAAGCGAAAACAAATTATTATTGTTTTAAGTGGTAGGAGAGAGAAACTCAACTTTTTGTATTCACACACGATGTCCCACGTAATTAGTCTCGTGGTCTGTCTTTGGAAACATTTCCTTGTGTTTTGTCAGCGCGTAACCTATTTCCGATTCCTACAGTACTTTTATTAAAGTTTTGGTTACATGAATATTTAAAGAATAACGACTTTTCTACTCTTTACATGCCATCTCTTGACATACATACCTTTGCATTATGGGATCCAACAGGAATCTTAACACTTAAGTTTATCCCTGACCCTGTCCCTTGCCGGTACCCTAGAACTCATAATACTTACCCGGACCATAAAACCTAATTCAAAACGGAGGTGTCCATTTCCCTGTGTTTCGTTCCTTTGAAATATTTCGTTAGATTTGCATTCTTGCATTTCTTGCGTCAAAACGTCTTTGTTTCGGGAAAGATTGCAGATACATTTCGCCTTTTGGCTTTGATATGTGCAAAGGTTTGAATTTATCTCCTTCATATAGTTGGACTGAATTTTGAGCTATATAAACAAAATTTATAATACACTGGACTATTATGGAACGGTCTAGAGACACAAATGTCGCGCTTTCCCCTGATCCTCTAGAATTATACTTTACCCAATCTCGACGTAACTTATATATATCTGCTTTTTTGGTAAGTATTTGTTTTCGGTCTACCTATGATTTGGACACGCCCTCTTAGTCCAATTATTGAGGTATTTCATGTTCCTTTTTGTTAGTCAATGTTGTGGCGCTCACAATTTCTACACGTGTTTTTCACATAATTATTATTAACATCTCGTTACATTGTATTATATATTTGTAGCATGTATTTTGTCTTTTGTAGCAAACGATGGTTATTTTAGCCATTGTTTATAATTGTCATTCGTAAACTTGATATCAATTGATTAACTGTATGATAATCAAATCATCTCAGTCATTTTCTGTGGATACTGTTATTTTGTATTCCTTATCGTGTGCCGTGATTTTCACGTCGAAAATTCATATTGGTGTCGTGAAATGTAGTGATCCTGTTCCTCACCAATAGAAGAGAAATCCTCTCTCTCTCTCCTTCCTCTTACACGTGTTGTGCTGCTTTTCAGTTCGGTTAGAATCCCTTTCAATGAGGTCAGTGTCAAGTGTGGCACCCTCCCCCCGGACCCCTCTCTCCCCCAACTCGCCACCTGCCGGGGAGGAGCGATTCTATAACCCTCTACACGCCAACCACACCTCCAAATCCCATCACATTCTCGAGAACTTCCACAACAGCTACGCAAGCTATTCGGACGGTCACTAGGTGATTTACTGCTGTACACGTGCAGCGCCTAAGCATTATTGCTCGCGCACGTGCAGCTGAGTATTACTGCTCGTGCACGCGCAGCTGCACATTCAATGCGCATGTTCAACGGTGCAATGCACGTGTTAGGTTTTAATTTTTCTGTTTGTTTTTAATGATTATTGTCCGGTTTTTACATTTAACATTACGCGTGATTTTTAATCCTACTCTATTTCGCTGTCTTATATATAATGTTCAGGTGCTGTTCCGACTAGGAACTAGGTCGGTTCCTATTTCCGACCCATTTTGCTGTGTGTTCTCTATCTTTTTATCAGTTAATTATAATTCTGTGTTCTAAGTTATTGCCATAGCTCAAGGAATACATCTTGAAAATCGATTTACTGTGACCGAATGATAATACATAGGTTTATATGCCTAGATCATGTGTGTCAAAGCCACCAGGACAATATCCCTGTATCCCATCCGGACGTTAGCCAACCTGATCAGAGCTACACTGTAGCTCTGTATAGCTGCTACAGCATGCACTCTAGCTTATATTGTGCGCAGTGTAGCTCTCAACCGGGCATTTAACCAAGTGGGCTTATGTCTGGATAGGAGTTGTTCCTACCATCCTAGCTACAGTCAGTATTCATTTGAACCGCTTAACATTACGTTGTATTAACTGTTAACATACCTAAACAGTAAACTAACAGTTAGACATCATCTGAATCTAACACACTTGAATTTGTACCGTAGTATACTTACCGCAAGTTGTGTGTACCATTTAATAGCGCGGTCTACGATAAATAGACACGCAACATGTAACATGTGACACTGACAACTTGAGGTTCACTAGGTACGTACTGCGGTACGTACTCACTACAGCTTGCTTATGTACGATCTTCACAGGCCCAAAGTTTTATTGTCTCGACTTGTTGGTGTGTGAGATATTTTTATTTATTTTGGAGAGTTCTACTATACGCAATTATAGACTTTTTCAGCAGCTTTATCTTTCTCTCTTGCCCTTAAAGTTTGAACACAGTTTCCTATCTTAATGAACTGTCCCAACACCAATGTTTAATTAATTTCATTTCAGCATATTCTCGAAACTTAAATTTTTTTATAACTTTCTAATTCTTCGGCCAGCGCTAGCGTTATGTTTAAATCATAGACATATGTTATTAAAATCATATGTTATTAAAATCATATGTTATTAAAATCATATGTTATTAAAATCATATGTTATTAAAATCATATGTTATTAAAATCATATGTTATTAAAATCATATGTTATTAAAATCATATGTTATTAAAATCATATGTTATTCAAATCATGTGTTATTAAAATTATATGTTATAAAAATCGTGTATAAACACGAGTTTGCTAATTAATGCCCCATTTTTGATTCCGTAACGTCAGCTAACATTTCACTAACGCAATTTCCCACAGGAAAACAAGAGATGTTACCAATAGACGAATCTAGTTCCTCTCTAGCCGTTTAACAAGACACGTGCCGCGCGGGGCTCTGGCGCACGTGCAGGACACGCGCGCAGACACACCGCCACTCAATTAGCTAATCGCCCAATTAGCTGATTGACGACTAATTGACTGTTCAGATATATTCGCAAGGGGTACCGAGTTTTAGAAAGATGAAGGAAATTTGAAGATTAATGAGATAAGATTATTGAGATAAGATATAAGAGATAAGATTAAGAACGTGTAGTCGTGGAGTGGAGGGTTTGTGTGGTACTAGGTCCCATTATAGGGTGTACTTTTGTTTCAAGTATGTACGGAGCGGGATAAATATGCTTTATAATTAGTTATAATTAATTAATCGATTAATTAATTAATCACTTGATACGTATCCCGGGGAGAAGATGCGGCCACCTGTTTGAAACATTTTAAAGACTCAGATATTTTTATTTTGTTCATATGCAACTCCACTCCATATTAAGCGAGAAAAGCGACATTGTTGTTTTTTATAATACCAGGGGTGTAAATGAAATGTGTATGTATTTTATAGAGTACGTAACTCTGCAAAGTTACCTGGCTAAACTTATCAGAACCCTGGTTACTATAGTTACTATAGTTACTAACCTGTTACTATAGTTACTAACCTGGTTACTATAGTTACTTACCTGGTTACTATAGTTACACGGTTCCTTTGCCGGGTTTTGGTAGGTTTAACCGTGTCAATGTTCTATCAGTCACCGTCAGAAAGAAAAGAAATGGTTTAGTTTACTGACTTCTTGTGACCGGCATTATTCGACGAACCGGGACAAATTCCGTAGATATCTTGTAGTTGTAACGGTTCATCGTGCAATCTAGTTACTCAAACTCACTGTAACCTAGAAACTCAAACTCACTGTAACCTAGAAACTCAAACTCACTGTAACACTCACTGTCATCTAGTTACTTAAATCCATTTTAATCTAGTTACTTAAACTCACTGTAACCTAGAAACTCAAATTTATTGTGACCTATAAATTCAAACTCATTCTCAATTCTAACGTATCATCACCATCCACCATAGCATAATCAATTCAACAAATTTGAGAACCATTTGGAATTGTCGATAATGTCCGGTTACAGGTGATAAGTTGTCAGTAATACTATTTGTTTATCACCATCAACTAATCCCACCATCGGCCTCATTCACAACAAAATTCATTTCATATACGTTTTATTATCCAAACGAGACATACATACCGATTAATTAATTAAGTTTTAATTAAGTTAATTATTTAATAACTAGTTTAACCTTTTTAGCCGCCGAGGTGTGGCGACACGTATTTTACTCTTTCGTTTTAAGGATTTGATTGCGTTAAATTGAATGTAATTTAACTGATGATGATGATGATTGATATTGCTCGGGATATGGTTCGGAGTTCCGTGTAACGTTATGTAGAAATTATAAAGTAATAACTGCACATTTGCTTTAATTTAACTATAATCTTTTACCCGATCCTATGGATTTATAAATTAACGCATCTCATTTCTTCCGTCGAGTAAGCTTTTAGTTTAAATGCCAACCAATTCAACCTCCGGTAGTACTCATAGTTGTACAGTCCACAGTCCAGGTCACAATTATATCGATATTTAATGGTCAGTCTCAATACAAGCCCTGAAAATAAAATAAATGGCCCAGCTGTAGTTGAGTTTGAAACGTCCGCATAGCACATGGATTGACATTCGAGCGTGCTAAATCTAGTCTAGGAATACAAGGAATATAAGGGATATAAATTTAAAATCTTAAGTTACAACAATAACTATTAGTGTTAAGATCAGAGCTCGACCGGGATACCGGCCGGGATTTGGCGTTTTTGACCCGGTCCCGGCCGGGATTACCGTTTTGGCCGGGATATTAGCCGGGATTTTTAAAACAGAATTTCATGTTCGATCTTTTTAATCTAATTTAGCTTCAAATCCATATTTTATTACTTTGACTTAGGGTTAGACAAATGATACGACTGTTAAGAATCGAACTAATCGAAATGAAAATCGAAACTCGAAGGATTGATTAGATTTCAGGCTCATCTTCATCCAAAGATATAATGATGTTGATATCAATGTTGTCATCCTCTGCTTCTCTTAAAATTGAAAATGCTCCATTTCAACATAGAAATATCGTGAAAGTCCCGGTCCCAGCCGGGATTAAGCTGATCCCGGTCAACCCTTGTATCACGTCGTGACCCCCATCGTCGTTTCACTATAGTCATAGAGTTTCTACGATACAGGGGGAGCCGCGCACTAGTGCGCGGCGGGTCATACAACGTATGAAAAGTCGACACGGCCCTGGTTAAGATCATAAGTATAACAATATTATTATTAGGGTTTATGTAAAACGATTGAGATGATCAATTTTATACCGAAAGGGCCTTTTCACAAGAATTTTCTTAAAATTTGGGCGAGCGATTTAGTAGGAGCGGTTGACAATGGACAAAAGCCACGATACAGATTACAACCGCGCACTTGAGTTTGACGTCTTGACATGTACGCGGCAGGTTTACAAATAGTATTACAATCGTCAATCGTATGAGAACTTCAATCGATCGCGATGAAATATTTCAATTTTTGAACGCTAATTCCAAATCACCTAATATGTGATTGCTCCCACTAAATCGATCGCCCAAATTTTTAGAAACTTTGTAAAAAGGATCTAATAGTATCAGGTTTCACCATTGGAGGACTTCGACGCGCCGCGCAAACTAGCATTCTTGCTTCGCATCGTCGTCGATTGTTGCTTTGCTTCGCAGAGCAACGCGATCTCGATGGATTGACATCGTCAATCAAGTTTCACCAGTCACCTAGCCATGAGTTTACGCGTACTGCGTGACGCGCGCTTGAATTTCACAAGTATTACGCATGAGAGTCATTTAGATTTTGGACGCTGATTCCGCGTCCGAACCACCCCGCCTTCACATATATAATAGCCATGTGTATACGCGTACTGCGTGACGCGCTTGTTTCACAAGTATAATATACTTTACCTGAGGACCCCAGGCTTTAATGTTGGTAAACAACCGAATAGAGATTAGGCGGAATGACAGGCTGAGCGCGGCCCAGTAAAATATACTCAGCTTTGCCGCCTTCGTGCTTCGGCGGTCACGCGCTACTGCAAGCGAGAGGGCTTTGCACTTTGGTTAGAGCAACACCCTGCCCATGCCATACGGCAAAAATTCTTCCTTGGAGATTTATTGACTGTTGACATATGCGTACGTTGCATGCCACTTTTTGCGCGCGAAGCTCCGCCGAAAACCGTTGGGCAAAAAATTGTTGGGCAAAAAACCGTTTTGGTCACGTGACAGGCTAGTAAAACACGAATTCGATTGTTTAGCTGGCTTGTATGTTATAGTAGGGGGTACACGATAAAATAAACTTGCTTGGATTTTCAAAATGTTTGTACCAATTCTTCCTTGGAGATTTATTGACTGTTGACATATGCGTACGTTGCATGCCACTTTTTGCGCGCGAAGCGCCGCCGAAAACCGTTGGGCAAAAAACTGTTGGGCAAAAAACCGTTTTGGTCACGTGACAGGCTAGTAAAACACGAATTCGATTGTTTAGCTGGCTTGTATGTTATAGTAGGGGGTACACGATAAAATAAACTTGCTCGGATTTTCAAAATGTTTGTACCATTGTTTTCTAGAGACTGTGAGAATTTTCACAGTACCAAATTTGTCATACCCTTTTGGAATGATCAGTGAGTTTCGCCTAGGTGCCATTTGTAGCGCGATGCACTACTGGGTCGCGCGCGCGCATCCAATAATGCTTCTCGCAACCACAGATCGTATGCAGATCGGCGAGATGCGAAGGATTGACATCGTGAATCAAAGGTGCCATATTTGATGGTGCGCGGCTTTTGGAGCAAAAATAGGTGTAAAAGTCGCGTAATTTGACGAAATCTGTTGATTTATGTTGTATTATTCTATCATATCTTCGGTTCCTGAACATGAATCATGCTGAAAATTTGTCAGAACCTTCCAATCATACTTAACTAACTACGTGTGCTCTCTAATTTTGCAGCTTCTCTGCTCTCTCATACCCAGCAGACCTTACTGGCTGGCGATATTACTACAGGTGATCGCGTCTTCACAGCTTGCTGAACTCCACGCGCGCTCGTTAGTTCATTGCATTTGCACGCTTCAAACATTCCAAGAATGCAATTGCACCACGTACCACGTGATACGATTCAGCCAATCAGAGAACAAGAATCCGCAAAGTTAAAGCTGCGCACTTTTATAAGGCCCATAATATGACTTTTCGCGATAATTTGAAATCTAGGTTGTCCCAAATTGTGCTCCTGGGGAGCTAACTTTAGTTTTACGAGACGAACATTTTGGTGAAAACCAGACGTTTCTATCTCTTTTATTTTCGAAGTTAGGCCCCTACCAGTAAGGTTTCCTGGGTAGTGCCTTCCGAGATCGCATTACAAGAGGGAACCCTCGATACGAGTATACAACATCGTTTATCGAAGGGTAGTTCCGGACTTCGAAAATCGAAAAAATATTTTCGGCTAATAATGTCAATGATCAGGGTATCATGAATCGTGAAAACATTTAAACTTCGGAAATATTTTTACAAGATTGTTTTCAGCTTGGAAAGGCAAAACGAGTAGTACCAAAATTATGATATTTGAAAAACAAATAATTTTTCAATTTTTACAAAATTTGTACAAGGGGGGAACCCTTGTGTTCGAGCTGGAAAATTGTTGAAGGTCTAAATACGATAAAAGGGCAAAAATTATATGCCATAAAGTGCATGTGGCATAAAATGGAGACTTTTTAGATGGAGAAAAATGAAAATGGAAAAACCCTTGAAGTTGAGTAATTCTCCAATTATGCCATTACATTGCCCCTCATCGACTTTGAGTTTGACAAAATAAAGATTATCAAGAATTCTAATATGAACAATAATTGTAGATGTAAAATAAACAAACGATCAATTTTGAAAGATAGATGTGATGGTTAGGAAATAGAGATAAAAGGCGGGAACTGCTCGTATAGGTATGTTTTACTGGTTTGACCAATACGCGGTCGCGTGTACAGTCACGTGGTCTCTCTCCACTAATAGGGAGCTCTATGTGGTGTGATTGGTCAATCCGTTGGCGAGTAAACTTTCCGGACAGAGTGTTTCCTGATATGGTCCGTGTGCTCAGTTCTTTTTTATCAGTTTAGTTGACCGTTACTACATTACAGTTATGATTTCATCATTTTGTCGGAGAGCCTATACCTACGGTTATAATTATTATCTCATATTTTCTGATTTTGCTGCTAAAGTTTAGGCTTCTAAATCTAACGACTCGACAATTTTCAGCAAATTCACGAAGTGTTTATCATAGATCGTCGTGTAGAATTGATATTTAATTCTGTTTTTGTACTTTACATTTATCAAATTAATTTGGCAGTTGCGTCTCGTCATTTTATTTGTCATATTCTTTATTTAGTCATTCATATGTAAAGGTAAGATTTTTTGTTTTCCGACTAGGTTGTTTAGACCTCAACCTAGTCATTATGCTAAATCTGGTCAACCCTAAATTATACGAAACATTATGATTTAAAACACTTTTATTTCACTGAAAGACAGATAAAATGAATGATAACACATTCTATATAGTTAATTGTAATTTCATAGTATAGCATTATATTAATAACTACAATAACGAATAGTTAAGTTTGGTTAGTGGGTGAAATTATTTGCAAAATAACGCTCAATTGTTAGCTTAATATGTTTGTATTGTTACCAGCACAGTGGCGCAATCGGTTAGGCAATAGCCTTATATGACCGTCTAGCCCGGACGTAGCGAGATCGAGTCCCGGCTTGTTCTAAATCTCAAAGTTTTCAAAAATCGTTATTTAGTCCGTAAAAGTTCACTCATGCTTGAGCTCTCACATATTCAGGGCTTCTGTATACATGTTTCACAATAATAGAACTAGTCACCCACTAACGTTATTACACAGTAACATCATATCTAATATCGTATAATGCGAGCGTAGTTACTCAGATTATCTAACAAATGTAACATGTAAGGATATTGGTCTAATGTACTACCCTTGTCTGGGTATATAACAACAGAGTAGTGTACACGTGCTCTTGATAACGCGAAGTAAAGGTTAGCCAGGTTATCCTCCTCACTACTATCCCACACTCCACACAGTACTATTACAGCAGGCCACTCACTAGAGGCACAATACGCACTGTGACACATTGCAATCTTACTAGCAGTGTTACCACATCTCATATTAACACTGTATCTAACTAGTGATACTACACTACTACCAATAGTGTAATCAGTATATACTATACCTATATCAGAATAATTTAATTCATGTGTAGCACACAATCTATCTAAATCAATATTAATAACACTTACAATACTATCAACATTATAATCATTAAAAACATGTATAACAGGTAATGTACCGTGTATAAAGTGTCCTGGTGATTGTGTAGGTAAAACTATATCTAAAATATCTGATTTAATAGAACATAATTTAACGAATTGATCTCTGATTTCAGATAAAATATTCGATAAATCAAACGTATTTCTTAAGTTTCTAGATAACGTAGCCCTCTGATTGGGTTTTAATAAATCAATGATTGAATAAGCTGCGTTGAAAATGGTTTGTGTGTCATTAATATACCAAGCCTGAACAAAATCGCAAGCTATCCACACAATTTTATCTGCTGATAATTCTAATAACTTTTTAATCAGTAAAGTCCACATTTCAGCTGTGGTATTAAAATAAATTACTGTCTGTATATCATCAACAAACAAATTATAACCACTTAATACACTGAGTCTATCTGTTAAATATGTGGTATCTGCATTACGTGTTATCTCCACAATAATAACATTACACAAACTCTCTGTTATAATTAGATTAGCTAGTTCTGTGGGAGTGTGTTCATCTTCACTAGTGCTTATCAGTTTGTATTTTATACCAGCGTTATCTAACGCACTTTGATAATGCTGTGAATTGTTTCCCTCTCCAGTAAACTTAAATACCACAACTTTGTTGTCCTTATCAGATTGTATCAGTTGCAGTATTTTACCACACAATATGACAGTCTTTCCTGCCCCTGCGGGTCCGTTAATATACAAAAAGTTCTCTTCTGAATTGAAAGCATTATCTTGTTCTACTGTTAGGTTGTCCACTTTTACATAGTTCATGATAACATCGGGAGCTTTAATGACTCCGGGATTCTGCGCCCGATTCTTCACTTTTTTAGGTACAAAAGTAAATTTTCCTTCTTTGAGCCGTTTACTAATGTTCAAGATAGACTGCCCTAGACTGCACCTAGATTGATCACACTCATTTTTATCTGTACACCATAGAGCTAACAACGTGTTTCTTACGTTTTCGCAATTGTTCGGGAGATTTACTCTGACATCTTGGCGTAGGGGATTGTTGATGACTTTTTCCAACCACCAAGCAGAGAAGTCATCCAAATCTTCTTTGAAGATTATCGAATTTCGATCATGTTGATCGGTGAATTCTTCTCGATACTTTGCACTGAAATTAGGATATGCCGTAAACTGAAGAATTGGTATGTCCTTGTCAAGACATTCGATTAAGTTCACTATCTTATGCCTCTGTTGTACTGATTGTTGAAATGTCTTATTCAACACCTCCTTCGAATACTCCTTCATGGTCATACAATCAGGTTCCTCCCAGTCCTCGCCAATCGTACACAGATGAAAATCTGGATCACATGCCAAAAACTCCCTTTCGAAATTTTTTATTTTTTCAACCTCTATATCAAGACATTTAATTAAGTTCACTATCTTATTCCTCTGCTGCACTGATTTTTGAAATGTTTGATTCAAGGCCTCCAACTGCTTCTCTATGGCCGGCGTACATTTAGGTTCCTCCCAGTCCTCGCCAATCGTACACAGATGAAAATCTGGTTCACACGCCAAAATATCCCTGTCGACATTTTTCATGTTTTTGACCTCTATGATTATGAATCTACCTGGGCAAATCACCAGAAAATCACACTCTCCTTCACGTTCCGCCGGCTTTTTACATTCACGACAGTCCTTTCTCACATGATCTTTATCGCACAATCGATACTGGTGGTGCGTGTATTCAAAATTATGCAGAACGATCACTCTCTTTTCGTCCAATTTCTCCACGGCCCTATACACTACAACTTCAGCCTCATAATCAGACTGACGTTGTCTTTCGTCTCTGAAGTCAGGACTACTCTCCGGGTACCTATCTATATAAGTCTGATCTGGAGCTCTCGGTAGCATAGTGGGATGAAGGTTGTCAGGCGAGTTGCAGAACTTGAGGAATATTTCTTCTCTGTTCTTTATATAGTAGTCCATCGTTCAGTAGGAGTAAGATAGTCTGAAATGAATGAAGGTGTTAAAACTTAAAAACTAGTATAGTAGTTATCATACTTTATTAATGTGGTGAAGTGTTAGGTGTTCAGGATAAAAGATGAGATATAAAGAAAGTGAACTTACTGATTTTTCTTTAAGCTGTTTAGTTTTAGCTGGGGTTTCACAAGGGTAAGTTTCTTTCTCCTAGAGACTCGTTCAATTAATCTGCAAAAATCAGAATAAAATTATCAAAATTATAACTTACTCAGCCCGCTCAGGCTATAAATATTTTCGAATGTGAATCAGGAGTCATCATTCAACACTAATATAGGAATATTAAGTAAACAAATTTATGTTTACCTTAATGAAAAGATTGATGTTGAACTTTACTGTTTACTAAGTTAGAAACGCTAACTGATTGAGTCCAGTACCCAAAATATTAAATATAATGTTAATCGCTAAGCAAGTAAATAATATAATATATAAGTATTAAGTATAAATAATTTTTGAAATGTAAATAGCGAGTCCTGATTTAAGTCTAATATTATAGGATCATTTGAAAGATCCAATCAGAAGTAAACAAACGTATATTTACTGTAAATTTAATGTTTACCTTTATGTAAAAATTGATGTTGAGCTTTACTGCTAATAGGAAGAAATTAGAAACGCTGAATGATTGCTGACCCGGGTCCAGTACCTAAAATATTAAACAAAATGTCAATCGCTAAGCAAGTGAATCTTGTTGTGATAATATATCATGAGGTACAAGCTTGTAAAATAGTAAATTTAACCACAAAACGAGTAGTGAGAATTGCACTAAAATATTAATATCAATATTATAATTCTTTAAAAAGGAAGGCTAATTCACAAAATACTAACGATAATAGGAGAGTTGTAAATCAGTTGTTTGGCGAGCTCAACATTAATACATGATCTGGGCGATTTTTAGAATATAAGTGAGAGACAGAATAGAAATATATAGGATTCATAAAATAGAATAATGTAATATTGACATGACCAATCAACGTTCAAGATTCTGTAGTTCCCGGGTTTTAGGTTATATAATAATTAATATTAGGTTATATATTAGTTTATACATTCATGTAAGAGAGAAGGGACAAATAACAAATAACCATTATTCTGAATTTTACTGATGACAATATTATGTTTACAAAACTTATAGCTGATAGTGATAACAAAATTCTACCTGACAATATTAGATATAATCATTACTCCAAAGTGATATTTTGACGAAGATAAAACATAAAGTCGGTTTAACTTTATTAAATGTAATGTAATGTACAATATTCTTGGTATAACTTTAACATACTGTAAAATGTGACCAATATTAATGAATAATGAATGTTTCAGTTCATGGTGAAACTAAAAGAAATGTTTCTGAATCGAAATAAAATGACTTAAAACACGTTAATATTGAAAATTATAGTGAGTCAGAAATAATGAATATATCAAAAAAAAGAGGATTACTGTGACGAACAGGTTACCAAAAATGGTCCACCGCTAATTGCTAAACCAACCACCGCTAAACCAACCACCGCTAAACCAACCACCGCTAAACCAACCACCGCTAAACCAACCACCGCTAAACCAACCACCGCTAAACCAACCACCGCTAAACCAACCACCGCTAAACCAACCACCGCTAAACCAACCACCGCTAAACCAACCACCGCTAAACCAACCACCGCTAAACCAACCACCGCTAAACCAACCACCGCTAAACCAACCACCGCTAAACCAACCACCGCTAAACCAACCACCGCTAAACCAACCACCGCTAAACCAACCACCGCTAAACCAACCACCGCTAAACCAACCACCGCTAAACCAACCACCGCTAAACCAACCACCGCTAAACCAACCACCGTTTAATTTAACTACCTTATTAGACTTTATTTGAACGGAAATTAATTGGAGGCTAGGGGCCCTAGCGTAAATTTCAATGTCCGTTCAAATTTAGCCGGACGTCCACCCCTTGATCGTAAATTTTAATGTCCTTTCAAAATTATTTCCGTTCACGCAATATCCGGTCAAATAACGTCCGGTAATGTATAACTATAACTATTAGTATTACCTAACTTGTACATGATTTAATAATGGGCAACGGTTCACTATTATCATCTTGTTCGTCGCAGTAACCTATCAGCTAAGAAATAAAAGCAGTAAAAGAAGAGGATATAAAATGTAAAACCAGTATTGTTCGAAACCCGTCCCTTGAAACCACATTAACTAGAATAACAAATTTAACAAAATTTCGGTGCAAAATAGTAAGGGGTCGTTCAACTTCACATAATATTACATAATCACTTTTTGGACAATTTTAACCCCCTGCTGTGTCAAAATTACACTAGCGTAATCATTCGGAAACCCCCTCTCCCCCTCGGCTGATTACGTAATACGTGAACGGCCCCTAAATGAAAAATGCTGCATACTGATAAAAACTGTACCAAACATTAACTCAAATCAATAATTTTCCAATTTACGGTTAGCTAATTCTGATTCTGAAACACAATGATGTACAAGCCCTGGTGTTTTTATATTGTTCAACCCAAATTCTGATCATTTAAAAACAATTCGTCAATTTTTGTCTCTAATTATGATATTGCTTCAAACATGAACATCCAAAATGTAACTCATAGTTAATACTTTCTTAGCTTACTGTATAAGATAGCACTGTATAAGATAGCAATGACATTCAACTTCAAAACAAATTTACTAAAATATGATAACCAAATTCAATAATAGTTGCACGTGTCGCGCGAAAAGAGCACGTGCAATATATCGGGTGCCTATAAAGCAGTGTGGCGCAGGGAAGCATCTATCTCGGTGTCGCCGAGGTCGTTGTCAGAGTTTGTATCGGGAAGAGCGGAGTAGATGGGATTACTGGCTCTTCTAGGGGAACGGGGGGACCGTCTACCTGCAAAACACGTGGTGTGACATGAGAACACGTGCAAAACACGTGATGTTGGTAAAAATAGATAACAAAACTATATAATACCAACTTGGTATATAGTTTTTTTAATCTATTTGTACATACTGTTTCCTTTTTATCTTTGCTAGTTAATTAGGATTTTGGGTACCGGGCCATCCTGGTTACCCTAGGCTATGGGCCGTTCCCTTGGCTTATGCAGGTCCAGGTTATCCAACTTACTGAGCCGCGCTCAGTAATATGAAATTCCGCCATATCTTCAATTTAATCGGTCCGTGTGTTTATAAACAAGAAGCCTGGGTCCCCAGGTAACTTTATAACCAGTTTGATGCAATAATAACTATTCAATCGCTAGGACAATAAACTGATCAATCCGTTTCATGTTACGATTGATATCAAAGATTTGCTACAGTAATACCTCACTATAATGCGCAACGAGGGATGAAACTAATAGCACAAAAAACCGCGTTATAACGAGGTCTGAGCTATAACAAGGTATACCACTGCACTGTAGTAACACAGTAACTATTACAGACATATGTATAGAGTTACGGAAATGTGGAATGAAACAAAACACAAATGAAAATATTTGCTCGAGCGAACATTTGCGATAGTGTTCCATACATGATAAAGTAAAAATAATGTGCACGAAAAAGGAAAAAATCACCTACGCAGATGGACTCGTGAGATTAGAAAATATAATATCTGAGTAAGGATTACTTTCAGCATTGGATCTAAAAGCATGGTAAAGTGTTCAAAGGCCCCGGGAAATCAAAAACTTTGTGTTTTGGTGGAAAATTCATCAAGTCGGAGTAAGGGGTCACTCCCCCTGATCCCTCCTCCCTATATTTCTGTAACTTACCAAGTGGAATTACAGAATATCGCTCGGGAGTTTCGTCTAGTAGATTCGACTCATCCGGCTTTCTTTCATTATTTCTCAAATCAAGTCTGGGGGGAATGTCACGTTTTAATATGGAAATGAGAAACATCTTCCACGTTATTTTACTTATAATATTACGTAATCTTACTTTAATTCACATAATATTAGTCAGTCTGGTAGGTAAATTCACAAAGTGCAAATATCTTCTCTTCTAAATAAACTTACTTGAACTGGTTACCGAATCTATTGCTAGAGTTAAGGCGGTTTCCCATACTGCGTTTAGAAATGAAGCTGTCTCTGAAGCGACGGGCGAAGTCAGAATCGTCGTTACCCTGCATTTCCTCATTCACCCAGTCACCGATAATATCTCTAAATGATTCGATATCTCCTTCGTCCTTAATCTTCATTGTCTGTTAAGTTTTAATATTTGGATTATAGATTATAATTAAAATAAGTTATAATTAATAAATAAGTTAGGTAATTAAAATAAGTTATCATGAACAGTGCACGTGTGAGGAGTTAAACGACCGAGCTAAAAAGAGATGGAGGGTAAAATAATGTGAAAAGTAGCACGTGACAAGTAAATTAGCACGTGACAGGTAACTTAGCACGTGACAAGTAAATTAACACGTGACAGGTAACTTAGCACGTGCCAAGTAAATCAGCACGTGACAAGTAAATAAGCACGTGACAAGTACATTAGCACGTGACAAGTAAGTTAGCACGTGACAAGTACATTAGCACGTGACAAGTAAGTTAGCACGTGACAAGTAAATTAGCACGTGACAATTAAATTAGCACGTGACAAGTAAATAAGCACGTGACAGGTAACTTAGCACGTGACAAGTAAATTAGCACGTGACAGGTAAATTAGCACGTGACAAGTAAATCAGCACGTGACAAGTAAATTAGCACGTGACAAGTAAATTAGCACGTGACATGTAAATTAGCACGTGACAGGTACCTTGAGGATGTCGTGAAGATGAGCTGCATATTTGTATTCTTCTCTCAGGTCTGATTTAGTAGACACCTCACCACCTGACAAAAAGGTGGGATATTTATATTTTAGCATATCGAAGAAAAATAAGGTGGTAACATCGAGCTAGATAGGATTAATTAATTAATTAAATATGGGGTATCAAAAAGGAAAAGGCTGTGAAATAAGTGATACGAAAGAACCAATTAACACGAACCACCATCCCTTTGTATGCTCTGAATGTCTTTAATGTAAGTTCTGATAGGTCTTGTGTTTCTGCGCTCTTTTTTAAACTTCACTCCTAAAATTATATTTGTTATTACAAATGATAATATCCATAAGCTCAAATTCCACAAATTCCGAAGAATTAGGGAACACTAATTGTTAAAAGACAGACGTTATCATCCTCATAAACCTAGGTCGAAAAACTATTGATTAATTATATCAATTATTTAATTAATTAATTACCAAGTACGAGAGATAGAGAAACCAGCAACAACACCACAAAGCAGGAGGCCCCAATTATTATGTACATAATCTTACGGTCTTCAACTTTCTCCACCCCTGAAGTTAATTAATTAATTAGGGAAATTAGGTGGTTAATAGATTAATTGAATGACTTAAGTCGATTAAATGACTTACAACGTTTTATTAAGACTGTAGAATCTTGCACTCGGTTAGCTCAGTGCAGTCACGTGTAAGTCACGTGTGAAGTAACAGCTAAGATCACATGTGTGAAGTAACAGCTGAAATCACCTCAAATTATTGCAATATTGTCAAATTTTTTATGTCACGATTACTTTACATGCACGATTAAAAACGCATTTTCTTCCAGCCAGATTTTCAGAACTTGAACATCACAATCAATGCCCCCCTTACAGCCACTAATTAGTTTATTAATTACGGTAATTAACTAATTAATTAATTAATTACGCCATGATAGCATTCCAATTAGTAAACTAATTGTCTATTAGAGACACTTACTCCCAGTGTCACCTTCGCCATCTAAAACGAGACGTGCTGACTTCTCTTTCAGGTACCCTTCTGTTTGTGAAACTGCTACACAGCTGCAGGAGACAATCGGTGACATAGTGAAACTGAAAGTTATATCATCATAATGAAAGTGAAAGTGAAAGCGGTGTAAGATAAAGCGGGTTGAAACTTACTCAATGTTAAGAGCACCCCGCTCTTCTCGCTGTGATCTGGAGACATTTAGCGTTGTGTTGATCACTGTCACGTTTGACTTGTTGAAGGAAAAACTGTATCTGTAAAAATACGGAATACATTAAATTTAAGTGGAAGAGAAACTGAAAGAGAAACTGTACTTGTTAAAATACGGAATGTATCAAATTTTAATCGAGAGAGAAACTGGAAAAACTACAATTTTCAATGAAAAGCAGTGCCATCAAAAATGAAAGTGAAAGTGAAAGTACCTTGAAGAGTCGGTGACGAGTTTCTGGTTCTCGTACCAATAAAGACGAGGAGGAGGAAACCCACTGGCAGTGCAGGTAACTAATGTACTGTTTCTAACAGTTGTGCTAGTTTCCACAGAGTTACTGCTAATCTTATCGCTTATGTCACGTGCTATGTGAACTGATAACTCTTGTACTGGTATGGCTGTAAAACGTGGAAATTGGGTTTTTTAAAGTACCAATATCTACACAAAACTGTTGTACATAAAGTTTCTAATATATACTAATTACTAACTCATATAAAGTTACTAATTATACTAATTATTAAATCATGTAAAGTTACTAATATTTGCTAATTACTAAATCATGTAAAGTTACTAATATTTACTAATTACTAAATCATGTAAAGTTACTAATTATACTATTTACTAACTCATGTGAAGGTTTTTCAGTACAAGTCCCCCATATTCACTTAAACTGAGGCAAGTATAAACGCCATGTGTGCGCGTGGAAGTCGGTATAACCAGTGAATTAGCTGTGCTATTCAAAGTGTAATCGTCCCTGAAGAGAAATTTTTAAAAGTGAAAGTGAAATTGTCAGAAGCGAATGTTTTAATTCGCATTGTCATTGATGAAGATATACCGAAATAAATTACAATTGTTAACACAAAAAAGTAACTATGGTCATTATCAATTGAACTTTAAAAGGGAAACCGAAAGTGAAAGTTGAAATGTAAAAGTGAATTACTCAGAATCTGAAGTCAGCCTGATTCCATTTTTATACCAGAAATTCCTTTTCTGACCCGTTACGGGGCACGATAAGGTAATGTTACTATGGTACAAAGGAATGTACTCCAGCTTCTCTTGGGTTATCTCCAACTTTCCTGCGACACGTGCGCGTGGGTGAGTAGAAACTTCGTTAGACATTTAAAGAATTTAGTACATGATTCAAGCAATGAGGCAAGGTATGCATGGTTAAGCGTATTAAATTAACAATAAATGTACTTTAATAATAATAATAACGTATTTTTATTTTTACATAATAATATAAACGTATTATATAATTAATAATAACGGACAATTAATTATAAAAATTAAATAACGTACGGTAGACTCCAACGTCTTTGAGATAACCAATGGTTTTGGTGGGATTATTACCGGACTCAGCTTTACACTCGTATCTGTAGTCAGTGTCCTGATCCTTCACCTTGTGTAACTCTACAACTCTACCTGGGGTGTGGAGTGATTTAGGGGAAAGGGGGAGGGGGGCAGGGGAATGGGGGCAGGGGAGTGGGGGCAGGAGAGTGGGGGCAGGGGTGTGGGGGCAGGGGTGTGGAGTGATTTAGGGGGATGGGGGCAGGGGAGTGGGGGTAGGAGAGTGGGGGCAGGGGAGTGGGGGCAGGGGAGTGGGGGCAGGGGAGTGGGGACAGGGGAGTGGGGGTAGGAGAGTGGGGGCAGGGGAGTGGGGGCAGGGGAGTGGGGGCAGGGGAGTGGGGACAGGGGAGTGGGGGCAGGGGAGTGGGGGTAGGGGAGTGGGGGCAGGGGAGTGGGGGCAGGGGAGTGAGTGTTGTTGTGACCCACGATCAAACAAACCTTCGTCAGAGGAATTATAGCGGCTGCTTGGTATTCTGCACAATGTGTCCACATCGTCTCCAAATGCCCAATAAACTCTGAAGTTATAATTATTTATTTGGTGAACGTCAATAAAATAAGGCACGTGCGAAGGAGGTCACATTGAAAAGCTGCGAGGACACATTAAAAATCTAAGGTACCACTGCTTACAAAAAAAGAAGACAGACATTTTGCGATCACACTAAAGAGCAGTCATAGTCTTCCATCATAAGACGTTCACATATTACATAATCACTGAGGGGGGGTTTCAATTTCAATGATTACACAATAGCTATGACGTGTAAAACTGATTACGGAGGGGGGGGGGGGTTAAAATTAGCCAAAAAGCGATTGCGTAATTATATGTGAAACAACCCCTAAGCAGACCCTTACTTGGGGATAGGGTTACCGTACGCTGCACACCGTAACACTAACTTTCCACCGACAATAGCTGTCCTCGCAGCTCCCTCGTTGAAAAATGCTTTTGTGGGTGGTCTTTGGTTTGGGGAGGCGGTTCCTGAAGATGGTATCACGGTATTGTCATTATTTTCACGTTCATAACGGTATGAAATCAGGTTTGAGCATGGTGACCCACAAGTCATTTGATTACATACATTTTAAGTATTCTGCATAGTAAACTAGTTTGCAAATTCACACTTTCTCTCGACGTATATTTTGTAGTTTATTCCATTGTATAATTTGTATGTAATTTAAAAGATTTAAAAGATTTCAATTTTTAAAAATCCGCTTCCACTTATCCGAACAAGATTAGACGTTCTGTGATTAATTAATTAATTAATTAATTAATTAATTATCTTCGATTCACATTACACCGGACATTAAACGGAATATTACAAACTTTTTGATAATCGCGTTAGCAAGCACATATTAACCTCACACGAGTTTTGATGAAATAATCTGCGAATATGAGGCGAATATCAAGTGTAAGTTCACTACAATCGTCCAATTGATACATTAATGCTTTGCAAGGTTATCTATACAAATAGTACGAAGTACTAACCCGTTATGCTGACAACAACTCTCTTAACGACGGTGTGTTCGTTGAGATAGCTGTTGTTCACATGACACTCATACGTCCCCTCGTGGCTACCCCTGAGAATACATTATATCACGTGATGTGACATTATATCACGTGATGTGACATTATATCACGTGATGTGACATTATATCACGTGATAGTAAAGTAAAGTAAAGTAAAGTAAAATTTATGACATCACATCATCACACATGTCTACAAACTATCATCGCACTGTGTGAAAAAATATATAATAAATATTTCCCCACCAACATTAATTAATTATCAAATACAATATTTAAAAACAATTTCATCAAAAACATTATCCTATTTTAAAAACTTCCCAGTGGAATAAAGATTTATAAAACGCTTCTTTGCCACATAAGGATGGAACCAAAGATAATTGTTATGTTTCTCTTTATTACTGACATAACTGGCTCCCTCAATTCTTACTAAAACTTCATTAGAAACATTCCAAAAAAAGCAATCATTTGTAATACTTTTAGAAATCATATCTATCTTATATCCTTCTAATCTAATTTTAAAACCTAAAACTGTCACAGAGTTCTTGACGTCCGGAGGGAGTTTGTTCCAATATGGAATAACTCGCTCCGGGAGAAAAGACTTCTGGATATTCTTGACCTTTGTCACACTTTTACTACATCTATTGGATGAAACCAGATTAAGACCTGATCTGCTTGGTCTGAACAAGTCTGAACCATAATCAGTCATACCATTAATAACCTTAAAAGCTTCAATAAGGTCCCCACGTATTCGCCGCTCTGCCAGCGTTGTCAAATTGAGGATTTCCAGTCTACGGCTGTAAGGAAGAGTACCCACCTCATCAATCAGACGGGTAAACCGCCTCTGGACGCTCTCCAGCTCCAAAACAGTCCCCCAACTTCCATGAGCCGCAGGTGGATTCCACAATTGGACACAATACTCAAGATGAGGTCTTATTAAAGCTTTATATATAGCAATCATAACAACCTTTTCTCTAATGACTAAATTCCTTACAATCCAACAAATCATACGATTTGCCTTAGCGATACATGCTTTGATCTGTTCGTTCCAAAGCAGGGAGCTATGGGTAATAACCCCCAAATCTTTTTCCTGTGCAGATACTTCAAGTTCTATACCATTTACCTTATAATTTAAATTAGGATTGTTGTTAAAATTAATGTGCACTACTTTGCACTTGGCAGGATTAAATTGTAAAAGCCAAACACTTTCCCAAACTTCTAATTCTTCGATATCTTCAGCAACACTACCGTGGTTAGCTGCATTACCAATTAATTTAAGATCATCAGCAAATAACTTTATCTTATTCTTTACAAGGTCAGAATATCACGTGATGTGACATTATATCACGTGATGTGACATCATATCACGTGATGTGACATTATATCACGTGATATGACATTACATCACGTGATGTGATTGCATATAATGAACATATTGACACGGGTGCAGAGTTGAGTCTGTACGGAACCTAGTAGTTTCATATCCTTGTTTAACTTGCCGTACAGCAAGGTCATCCACTACTTTAGCCCGTGATGTCATCCTTGTTGGAGTGTGACGTCATACCACACGTGATATTGTGATGCAATAAATAATCTACTACACTTATCAGTAAGATAAAACTAATTGAATGAGCCAATTAGTATTAATGAACCTATAAGCTAAAAAGCTATGTTACCTGTTCAGATTTATAAGGAACAAATATCCATCCTCGGGGTAATAAAATTTGTCGACCATTCCAAAAACTTCTTTCAGTCCGCCTTCCAATTCGTATTTGTACCAACTGAAACATGTTGTTGGTAAATCATAGATTTAGCAAACATAGCTTATGCCTTATAGATAGCGTATCTTTCTAAAGAACTCAACTCAAACGTTTGCAGAAATCGTGGACTATTCAAATCGCAAAACAGATTGAAATTCGTAGTTTGCGTGGTGCGCGCGAAATGAGTGTACGTTTACTTTGCTGACATAACGAGAAAAATTATACGCGCGTTACATACAATTTTGTTGGGTATTGATTAGTAACGAGATCGAAAGCCACCTGCTAGAAGGTAAAAGATTGGTCATGACTCATGGCACATCCATTATTATAAGCTATGTAGCCAATCGGGAAATGAAGGGTCCTCAAACATGAGACGCAATGATCATGTTAAATATGTGTGCTTAACGTGGTCGGAGCAAATTTATCACCCTACGCGCGTGGGGTGGACTCCTGGGGTGGACTTTTATTCAGCGCGTATTTTGTAGCCTGTTCAACTTGACGTTTTGATTCGTTACTATCTCAATGTCACAGATACACAGAATGTGAGGTGATCATCTTAAAGAGAAACGTCTCAGCTTTCACCTGGTGTAAAGTTTATCTTTGTACTCAAAATATAGCTCGCTCAGTGTGCAATAGAAGTTGACAATACAATAACCACGTCTGCGACCGGTCGTCAGATACCGGAGTGTTGCACAAAATTGGGTCCCTAAATTAAAATTCTATGACACAGTTACCATGCAGAAATGTCTAGGGAAGGGGGTGATGCAACGTCAATTAATGTCAATTAATGTCAATTAATGTCAATTAATGTCAATTAATGTCAATTAATGTCAATGTCAGTTTTGCAAAATTTTGGAATACTGACATTAATTGACACGATATTTTTCGACCAGAGATTATGTAGTTCTACCATATTTTTAGCACATTAGAACGTTTATATCATCAATTTATTCACTACTATCACATATGTAAATGTGAAATGTGAAAAAATTCAGATCATTAAACAATAAAACTAAAATAATACGGTTTTCCGAAATTTAATTTTCTTAAATGGGTGTGGCCATCCAAGGGCGTGTTGAGTTATTTGTACAAATATTTAGTCGATGTTTAACTAGTAAATAATGTATTGATAGGACTATCTTGGATAGTAACCATGACAACCGAGTTATCGTTGCTTAAGTGCTGATTTTATCATTAGTTTTTACACATGAACTGTGAATTCTGAACAACCAGTTTTACGTTTACTAATTAGTTTAGTATCATGAGTAGTACAGTATTTAGTTGTATTAGCTTGCATTTCTTCTTGTCGTATTTTTTGTTGTTTTGACATTTTTTGCAATTACATTTTTTGGGTCATATTTCGTAAATTTTATTTCTCTGTTTTTGTTTTAATGTTATTTTAAATTTCTTTCCGTCGTTAATTTTTACACATGTTTAACAATTTTATTACAGAACTGAAGAAGACGTTGTTACGTGGAATGATTATTTCAATTCAATAAAGTTTCTAGCCTAAAGTTTGCTGCTTCAATTTGTTCGCAAGTTAAGAGTCTAAAGAGAAATTCTCCAAGAGAAATCGAATCTTAAACAGCTAACATTAATCCTTCATACTAAAAAAGCCGATTCTAGATATTTTACCTGTATAAGAAACCAATAAAATATGGGCGTGGCCGGTGGGGACCGAAGATGGAAGAGTTGGAAGTTGAAATTTTTTTTGGTGGTCTTTGAACCTAAGGATCAACAGATAAGAACATACTCATAATTATTCAATGACATTTTGTTTTTTTTAAACCGGTCTAACTTACATAGACGTGAATATCTTGAATATTTATCGAATAATGATAATCTCAAATTTCAAGACAAATTAATGTCAATTAATGTCAATTAATGTCAATTAATGTCAATTAATGTCAATTAATGTCAATTAATGTCAATTAATGTCAATTAATGTCAATGTCAGTTTGGGGTTTTTATGGAATACTGACATTAATTGACGTTGCATTCCCCCCCTAGGGAAACATTTGGTGAAAGTTTCAACTCTCTACTATAAAAATAGCGATAGTTATTGAAGATAAACCGTGAGAAACTCCCTCTTGTCGAGATCAACGCTCTAGGAACCTCCCTTCTGTACCACGTGACAACGATTTGAGCGTCACGTGGCCGTCACGTGACAAAAGTGCGCGCATCGGATGGAGCAGTCTCGTGGGAAATCCTGATTGCCTGATCGATCTCGTGGGAAATCCTGATTGCTACGGAAAGGGCTGACAACCACAGTTATTTCCCTTCCTCAATTTTCCAGTTCACTTGCTCAGTGCTGTCAGTTGTTTTTTGTTTGCCCTGCTATATAAACTTCACTCCGTCATAATCCCCTACTCCCCTATCCAATGAACTGTTTCTGTTACAGCTGCCATTCTGTTGACTGGACCCTAACTTAGTCTTATCATTTTCACTTGATAACTTTATCCGTGTGCACTTTCTCGAAACTCAACTTATCTTTGTCAAGACTCAGCTAATCTCAGAACTAAATGTTGCCTTAACAGACTTACTTGTCACTGCACTGGGCCCTCCTTTAAATGCAAATATCATATGAGCAGCTGATCGATTTATTGCTTGAACTGTGCATCCTTTTTAAAAATAAATAAGGTCAATTTTACTATCGTGAAACTTAGTCACTGAAGACAACGCAATCTGGCTGTGCCGGTTCCCCTCTGCCTAGATCACTTAGAATATCCATAGTTAGCAATACTTTTATCGTTTAATGCAGCGATATAGCCAGTTATCAATGCTACATAGTAGATTTTAGCCTGTTCCAATCATCCTTATATCGCGTTAATGGAATTTATGAAATTGCCTAACGTTCAAATCGCTCTCTGTTGTTAGCACCACACTGATTAACTACGATGTTCCAATTTTTTAGAATTATGTCCGACATAATTCTAATTTTTGCTGTTACAGCAGATAGTTATGGTGTAATGGCACGCAGGAATAAGTCATCCCTGTCCTCCAAAAAGCCCATGAAAAGGTATTTGGTAAGCTATGTCTTTTCCAATATCAAATCCAATGTATCACAATCTGTGGACTTTCTACTCAAAAACTAGATTGATTAATTGATAATTCATTGCTGATTGTTCACGCGCCCTGTATGGAAGTATATAAATGGTAATCCGCATACTCCAGGAAGAATTGAAGCAATCTCAAAAGAAAAGAAGGGAATCTGGATCCTTCGTCGGATCGTCAAAGAGCTTAGAGGGGAGCTCTACGCTTCACTGGCCATGCAAAGCAGGGAGAGTGACGGAAGCGGAGGCACTGCTGGCTGCTGGAACGGACATTAACAAGCTGGACAGAACGCAGTTTAACCCTTTCATGGACGCGATCAACTCAGGTAAATCATTCGACCGCCTTAACAATATGGGTTTATTGGTAATAGTAGCAAGAGGTTTTAGTCATGCGTTTGATTACAGCACAGTGTGAAACCCTGAAGCATACGTCGAGCTCTAAACTCTGTTTTGTCTAATAATCAATTATTTGAATATTGAAGGATTAAATTTGGTAACTTGATGATCACACAATTAACAGGACAGGTCGACTGTGCTAGATGGCTGCTGAGGCAAGACGGTTTAAAGCTTCAGACCGAGATATGGTCGTTTTGTAGGGAGAGGGTGCTAGAGTCATTGCTAACAGCTTAACAGAAGGTAAAATCCTGAACTTTTGTTCATTGATTAAAAATCACCATTCAGACATACAATCGTTCAGATGTAAAAATTATTTATTCACTATTTTGGATTACATTTAGTTACAGGACTAACATGCGACATCCGTCGTTGACCTTTGTCTTTAATTCAACAAGGTAGGGAGAGCGATCCATGGCTGTCCCGATAGACCCACTCAGACTCCTGCCGGAAGATACTCCTCCGGTTGATCCAGATGAGACAGTTCTAGCAGATGATCAGTTACAGACTGAAGAACATATCCCACAGATCAATGCGTCAACATCTGCAAATGAAGGTACTTCAATCTGCTCTTCTTGTATATGTCTTTGTGCCTGCGTCTGTGATTGTACTGAAGTGTACTCTGTGTGTTTGTGTCTGTGTCTGTCTTTGTATCGTGTGTGTGTCTCTGATTGTACTGCGTGTGTCTGTAATTGTAATGTAGTGCACTGAAGTGAACTATGTGTGTTTATGTGTGTGTGCCTGTGTGTACTGTGTCTGTCTGTGTGTCCGTCTGTGTCTGTGTGTGTCTGTGTTTATGCCTGTGTCTGTGTGTCTATGTCTGTATGTGTTTGTGGGTGTGTGTCTGTGTGTCCTTGTCTGTGTGTAACTGTGTCTGTCTGTGTGTCTGTCTGTGTGTCCGTCTGTGTCTGTGTTTATGCCTGTATGCCTGTATGTCTGTGTCTCTGTGTGTGTGTGGCTATGCCTGTATGTGTTTGTGGGTGTGTGTATCTGTCTGTGTGTGTGTGTGTGTGTGTGTGTGTGTGTGTGTGTGTGTGTGTGTGTGTGTGTGTGTGTGTGTGTGTGTGTGTGTGTGTGTGTGTGTGTGTGTGTGTGTGTGTGTGTGTGTGTGTGTGTGTGTTCTTTCATAGAAGTTGTTATTTCCAAGATGCGAAGTTCGAAAAGCTAGCATTTAGTAATAGACGAATTTTGCAGCTGATATCAGAATCGACATGATGATGGTACTACACGAGATGCTCATGGAAAAGGTCTCCGTTTGCTTTCCTCCTCCCACGAGCAGTACAAAGTGTGGGTTCAACTTTAATCTGATAGAAGATATCGTATGCGGAACCCAAGCCCGGCCATGTCTGTACATAATAACGAAAGAAACCGGTAAGTTTCTAATCATGTAAATGTTCGGCCGAACGTTTGCATTCATTTTAGACTAGTGACGAAAATCAACAATCGTTTGCCAGTTTGGTTTGCAAAATCGACAAAAAATAGTCCATTCCCCATGGCCATGATATTAGAATTCTGCCCGTTGAAATCGGCCACTCTGATTTTTATCATTGAACTTCACATTGATGACATGTTCATTCTCTACAGGTTATGCTGCGAGGGCGTTTACCTCGATAGATGTTGAAAATGCCCACAGCATTATAAATCATTTGGACCGCCGAGGGGTCCAAAACTCCTCAATCGAAGAGCTTAGTAGACATGCCAGCAACCTACAGAGACTTCAAATTCTCAGGAAACCTCTCTAGGACGGTAATACATTAACTTGTTTAGTTAATAAATTTAATAAGTAGATTTTGAGTGATGATTACTGAATACAGATATCGAGCCTCGAGGTACCATAAAAAGGGTATATAAACTTATCACTTATGCTTATATGCTTATACTATCAATGAATATCAAATCGCCTTCTCTAGTTATCAAACCCAACATAAGTTAAATCTCTGCCTACAAGGACTATTTGATATTTACAACAGACCGAGTGAATGTCTCAATCTTTTCAGGAAGCTTTATACTCCGACATCCACAATTTACCACGCCCCTGAGATCGACAAAGGTCTTTCTGATAGATTGACTTCCAGCCAATTCGATCTATCGAAGCCGAGTGGGAAGAACAAAGAACTGAAACCCCATGGTCGCAACGATGCTCCTCGCGGACAAGGGAGAGTTAGGGCCATCGGTGGTCACAAGACTGGATAATATTTATTTTTTAAGCGTTGAGGTTGTCACGAGAGCGTACTGTAACGGGAGTCGGGACTATCAGATTTGAGTGATTTGATTTTGTGATTTGCAGTTCACGTGATTTTATTGTGATTTTAGACTGTAAAAACTATAAAGGTTCAAGTTGAACTATCGTCGCCATGATTATGTATTTTGGAACTGTTCACGTTGAAATTGCTTCGTTAATCAGCAGTCTTCCTTGGTTACTTTCTACTGTGTAATGCAGCTACGATCAACGATACTTAGCTAGTACATTCATAGTAACACTAATTGCACTGAGAAGAGTAAAAAATTTGAGCTTTGACGGAATAACATTTCCTTGTTTTTAGATACGGTTACTACTCTAGTGAGGGGTTCATAGCTGATCATTAAGGTCTTACTCACAATAATTTGTGCTCTGATATTGGCCGTACTGACGGCTGTTGAAAAAGCCACTCCGTCAGATGCGCGCCGCAAGAGTCCACCCCTGTAGACCCCACTACGTACAAAATTTGAAATTTTCCCAAAAACTTCTGATTAAGCTAGTTTGTTTTCAATAACTTTTGCAATATTTACAGTAGACCCTTCAAATTTTCACCAAATGTTACTCCAGACATTTCTGCATGGTAACTGTGTCATAGAATTTTAATTTAGGGACCCAATTTTGTGCAACACTCCGGTATCTGACGACCGGTCGCAGACGTGGTTATTGTATTGTCAACTTCTATTGCACACTGAGCGAGCTATATTTTGAGTACAAAGATAAACTTTACACCAGGTGAAAGCTGAGACGTTTCTCTTTAAGATGATCACCTCACATTCTGTGTATCTGAGACATTGAGATAGTAACGAATCAAAACGTCAAGTTGAACAGGCTACAAAATACGCGCTGAATAAAAGTCCACCCCAGGAGTCCACCCCACGCGCGTAGGGTGTTTATTGTAGGTCAAATAGTCCTATTTTTGATACCCCAGTAAATTTCACCTCCCGTCGCAGTTCAGCTTTTGAGCTGCATTCCTATTTTCCTGTTTCTAGTTGTCATGATAGAAAAACACATACTCTTGAAAATCTTAAATATTCTGTTCGAACGGTGGTTTATAAATCGATCCGTTTCAACTACCTTAGTTCGTATATTTATGGCGGGTAAAAATATGGCGGATTTTTCAAAAATTATTATGCCATAAATTAACTCGGCGGGTTTCATTATGGCGGGTTAAAATAAAAACATGGTGTACTTTTCGAAAAACAGCCAAAATTTAACCCGCCATAATTAAACGAACTAAGGTAATTAAATTAAATCGATATTAAGCTTAAGGTAATGTATGTATCTATAAACTGGAGGAAATCTTACGTTGCGATCGCTTGAGGGTAACTGTTGGGCAAGTCACAGTTCAACTTCGCCATTGATAATCCACTTCTGAAAGTCCTCTCCTGTACCACCACAGCCGGCTTTTCTAAATCTGCGAAGATTAACGTAATGTGACGTCATATCACGTGTCATGACGTCATCCGACCAAGACAAAGCTACTTGTCTATGTTACTGAAGGAAGTTGGAAAAAACTCTAAAGAGGAACTGCGAACCCTTTTTAGAGGTAGTAGTAGTCCCAAAATTTCAAGTTGGTTGTTTACAACTAAGCCGAGTTATGACCCTTTTAAGGTCTTTCGGATACGTGATCTCGGCACTTAATCAGTGATTTCGTCACCCAATCAGTGATGTCACCGGGAGCTATTCAGTAGCGGGCAATAATGAGCCTCATTAGGCGGTACCGAGCATGTTGAGGGATGACGATCTGATCACTTTAAGTGAATACTTTTTTATTGAAATCTTTCAAATCAATCAATTACATTTACACAATGAATGTATTTAAACCTCCTATAAAATCAGATTTTCTAGGACAAAATGTATGTAATCAAAGGACCTGAGGGTCACCAAAACACAGATGTTGAGAGCAAAATGCACCTCCTGCACAAGTATGGGCCCACGGAAATCGTGAATTTCAAATAGAATTTCAAATAGAATCACACAAAAATATCAAAAGCAATCAAATCATATAATAAAGTGAAATCCATGATGTGATGATATGCACTAAAATGAAATATGAGAAATACAGACAACAGGGATTTAAGCTCTTATGAACATATTGTTAGCTTTAGGTAGACTGCCTCACATCTCTGTCTCGAGGGAATAATCTAGATCATAATCAAAGTCCTCCGGCAGAATTTTATCCCACATGTAGGAGTAGAGGTCAATTTGCTTTTGAACTCAGAAATAATCTCTATCTCACGTATAGCTAGAGGAATATGATTCCATTTGGAATGGGTCCTAAAGTAAAAGTTCTTAGCAAAAGCGTTAGAGCTTGCTCGTGGTAAGATTGAGCTTACAAAACATAAGGGGTCCATGTGGCTATAACCTTGAGTGGCCTTGAAATGGTTGCAAATATGAGGGTAAAGTGACAGGTATTTTGTGACTTTTCTTAAAATCAAAGAAATTCACGTTATAGCGCTTCGGCTCTTCGGTTGCTGTCCTATGAGCAGGTTCCAACCAATGCAATCAGACTATTGATCATGTATCCGCCAGATCTTAAAATGGTCATAACTCGGTTTAGTTGTAAACAACCAACTCGAAATTTTGGGAAAGCACTTCTATTATCAAACCACTCAGTTAGGAACTCAAAAATGGAAATTTTTGAGTTCCTAACTCAAAACGTTCAGGAAATTTTAGTTTTACCCATATCTATGTTCTCTGGAATTTTTAGGCAATTCTGATACCAAGTAATTGAGTTATTAAAGGGTTGTGTGTGGGTAGTTACTTTTGGGCCACCCTGTACATCAAAAATGGTAACTTTTAGTGAACATGGTGAGTAAGGTACATCAAAAGTAGTAACTTTTGGTGATCATGGTGACTAAGGTGCATCGAAACTGAGCTCTCGGTATCGTCGTATAGTACCAGAATACACATTCAACATTTCAATTTGATATTTCGAAAGCAAAACATTCAAATGGTGAAAAATTGTGTAAAATGGTGAATGATTTTTATGGTGAATCAAGTTTCCAAATTGTAAAATTTCGCCATTTTTCACCATTTTTCACCATTGGAAGCCCCCATCCGAATTCTAATGTAAGTCATTTTCTGTACCATTACTGTTAGCTTTTACATTTATATACAAAAACTAAACTATTGTTGCAAAATTTGTTTCTAGATTTAAGACAGATTTTCGGGAACTTGTTGTCCTTCAGCCGACCATTAACAAGACGTAGACCCCCCGGCCCCCTTAACTAGTATCGGTACAAGTTATAATAACATAAACCCGCCACGCAAAGGGTTTATATAACAGATCATCCCGCGCTAGCGGGATGATCTGATAAACACATACGAGTGCGCGCAGCGCACGAGTTTTGTGTTAATATGTAATCCCGAAGCGCCAGCTGAGGGATTACATTTATTTAGCCCTGAGCGTGAAGTGTTTATGGATTATAATTATCTCCGGCGATTTCGACAAGGGATTTATACTTTAGAAGAGAGTGATAAAATAGTTTTTATTTCGGAATACGGGTCTGATTTTAGTAATATTTTCATTTCTATTTTCAAAGTCATTGAACATTGAAGTCACGAGCAAATCTGGATGACTGAAGCCAAGAATTAAATTTGTTTAGAGCCCAGTTGTTGACTCTAACTGTACTGTCCGGAACACGATTGGAAAGCAGTTCATCAATCTGAATGTCAAACCGATCTGTCATAGTGGAGCAATAGCTTGAACGTTAGCAGGAACAAGAGCTGGAAGGAGAGCAAGCAAAACAATACTATTTTTAGGGCACGGACAAGGGTAGCTGGCTAGTCGCCAACTTCTCACGCCACGCGTTGGAGAAATTCCAAGAATTAGCTGCCTTGGCAACGTTCCCAGGAATTTGCGTGTAAAAGAAGTGGACGGTTACGATGTTTCATATCACGTGGTGCGCTTTCGTGTCACGTGGTATAGACTCGGCGTATGCTATTGGTGGCACGTGGTACGCACGTGACGCGCCCACGTGATCGCGCGTCTAACTGTTCTACTATTATCGAGTTCTAATCAGCAGTATCATTGATTATTGTAAGTCGGAGAATTGAATAATAAACATCAGTTACGACTAAAAAGCGGGCCGGGTTTATACAAATTTCCGGGGCGGGATGATATCACCTTGAGATGTTTATCTAACAGCGGGCCGGGCTGAGTGATAATATGATCCCGCGTCGAAATCCCGGAGATATTTATAAAGTTATAAGCATCACGTGTCAATACAATTTGTGGTATCTGCATCAATATTATATGTTTGACGTAAAATATAACCATAAGCCTTCGAATTACGTTTATATTCATCTTCATGCCAAAGAATTCTGAAAATATTACGGTCCAGATAGAAAAAGAGGAAAATATACATATCTCTACTATAATTCAGAAAATTCTGTACACTGTACGTACGACCGCCCACGTGCAAATTAGACGAAAAATAGAAATTTAGGTAACAACCAAAACGTTCCATAGCAACGGTGTTTTAATGCACACATGCACCGTGCACGTGCAAAGATTGTTTTAACGTCATTTTGATCGGTTTTGTGGTAATTACGTTGTGTTTAAAGTGTTTTATATTTAAATCGGCTGTATCTTCGGTTGGGATGGATATTTTTGATGCGATTAAAACTTTCTTTCAAAGAATACTACTAGCTTCGTCCCTGTTACCACGGGCTTTCTAGTATTATATAATATACTGTTTTGAAACTTATTCGCCTACATTGTTACTGATCCTAAGCGGAAATTCGACACCACGGTTATTTGATTAACGGAAATTCCACACTCGTAAACAGCCCCAATGACTATTGACTACACATGTGACTACACATGTGACTACACATGTGACTACACATGTGACTACACAGTACACATTTGACTACACATGTTATTTATACGGAACCAAAAATAACAGATCCAAGGTTATTCGTTATATATCAATTGATTTTGCATTTAATCTTTACAGTACACCCTAGCCTGTTATTTACCTTACATTATATCATTATATTAGGCTACACAACAAGAGAAACGTGTACAACAACGAGTCAGTAATGTTATACGCAGAAATTGTTAATTTAAAACATACGAAAATGTATTCCATGCGGATTCCAGTACGAACATCTTGAAATAGGTGGAAAATCGTTAAATCTTCTTTATAGTCAAAACAAATGTGGTCCACCAGAACCCACTTCTATGAGAGTCCTATCTAATTCTAATATCTGGTCATTCGACTAATACTGGGTGAATGGGTGCTAGCACGTGATAGTGAATTTTATTGGTCAATAGTGGAAGCTGATTGGCTAATCGCTGTCACGTACTACTCCGCAGTACACACACACACACACACACACACACACACACACACACACACACACACACACACACACACACACACACACACACACACACACACACACACACACACACACACACACACACACACACACACACACACAACCTTCATTACAGCTGTGGGTGACGTCACATGAACCGTTAGATCACGATAAAGTGATCTAACACTATGATCTGGATACACCATGATAATTGATATACAGGTGGGGGAGGTGGTTCACATTCCTCTCTAACACGTGACAGCGTTAACAACCAATCAGCTTCCAGCATGGACCAATCAAAACACAGAATCACTGCCACCTTCCCGCCAGTATGAAGATAAAGAGATACTATTACTGATATATATTATATATTAACAATTGCATTACTGATGTATTATATATTAATAATTACTGCATGTACTAACATATTGCTGGCAACACAAGGTCATCATTACGTAATGTAAATTGTAAAAGTTGTTGTTTATGGGGGTTAGGTTACATGAGTGTTAGTGTTAGTTGCTACATGTTACTGTGTCACTGTGTCAGTGTGTCAATGTGTCACTGTGTCAGTGTGTCAGTGTGTCAGTGTGTCAGTGTGTCAGTGTGTCAGTGTGACAGTGTGTCAACTGTCAGTGTGTCAGTGTGTCAGTGTGTCACGGTGTCAGTGTGTCAGTGTGTCAGTGTGTCAGTGTGACAGTGTGTCAGTGTGTCAGTGTGTCAGTGTGTCAGTGTGTCAATGTGTCAGTGTGTCAGTGTTTCCCTGTGTCAAGTGTGTCAGTGTGTCACTGTGATACTGTGTCACTGTGTCACTATGTCACTGTGTCACGGTGTCAGTGTGTCAGTGTGTCAGTGTGACAGTGTGACAGTGTATCAGTGTGTCAGTGTGTCAGTGTGTCAGTGTATCAGTGTGTCAGTGTGACACTGTGTCATTGTGCTAAATTGTAAATTATCAGACGCAATTATTCTGTTGGGGCTTGATTTACGGAAATTATTTTTTAACTTGAAAACAATATAAGCTTTAAAAAACCTACTCGATTTACGATGATATCATTAAATGTATATGATATAATAATACTGTTAAAATTACATCATAGGCATAATAGAATATAGATACGTTTAGAAGCCTGATAGATTTAATTACAAGACAACTTAAATGTAACTAAAATGTAACTAAAATATAATTACAATATAATTACATTTTAATTACATTTTAATTACAATCTCTACTATAATTCAAAGAATTATTTCTGATGTCTGTATGTACGACCGCCCACGTGCAAATTAGATGAAAAATAGGAATTTAGGTAACAACCAAAACGTTCCATAGCAACGGTGTTTGAATGTACACATGCACGTGCAAAGATTGTTTTAACGTCATTTTGATCGGTTTTGTGGTAATTACGTTGTGTTTAAAGTGTTTTATATTTAAATCGGCTGTATCTTCGGTTGGGATGGATATTTTTTAATGCGATTAAAACTTTCTTTCAAAGAATACTACTAGCTTCGTCCCTGTTACCACAGGCTTTCTAGTCTATAGTATAATTCAGAGAATTATTTCTGTAGAATGTATGTACGACCGCCCACGTGCAAATTCGGCAAAAAGCAAAAGGTTGCAAAGTAACCATGGTAACGACCAACGAGGGTTGAAACGCGCACATGCACGTGCAATGATTGTTTTAACGTCATTTTAATCGGTTTTGGTAATCTTTTTTGTTGATATTACGTTGTGTTTAGTGCGAGCAACATTTCAATCGGCTGTATCTTCGGTTGTGTATGATATTTTTTGACTCGATTTAAACTTACTAACAAAAAATACTATTAGCTTCCTCCCTGTGACCACGGGTTTTCTAGTACATTATAATTAAGACTCACAGAGTAACTCCAGTTTGGCAGGCTGGCTCCAATACTTGTCCCCTGACAAACCCTCTTCTGTCACCACACAAATGTAGTAACCACTGTCTTCACGCGTTGTTTCAGTTATCACGTACTCGTTATTTGATGATCCTGTGTGTTTAAAGCTGTTAATTGGTTAATTGATAGGTTGATTATTTGGTTGATTGATTGGTTAATTGGTTAATTGATAGGTTAATTGGTTTATTGATCATAACAGTAATTGAGTAATGAGCAACTGATAGATAATGTCAACATAATATATGTATTATTGGATGATGGTATGGAAAACAAGCTCACCCAAAAGATGATACATAGACGAGAATATCTTTAAGATATTCATAATATACATTATACAATGTACATCGTAAACTAAAGATTCAGCCGTTGTGTGTGAAAGTGTGGATGACCGGGATGCTTTAGGATATCGGATATTCAGAGCTTACATAACCATGATAATTGACGACTGATTGACGACTAATTGACGACTTATTATACGATGCTTGTAGTCAACTATCCTCAAATCCTGCACACATCGTACTTTAAGATATAATTTATTTATTAAAAACAGTAAAAAAGTAAGTAAGTAAAGTAAGTAATGAACACTGGTGTAACCTACAGACTTGATAGTCAAATGTCGTTAAATAAATCAACTTTTAATAAATTTGTACACCATAAATTTGTAACATATTCTAAATCAATATGGCAGTATAAGTACTGCGACTGTTTCTGATGTAAATTTCGGATGAAATCGTGTATTGCGACAGGAATCGTTAACGTTTCAGTGTCAACTGTCACTACATCGTACTCATTACTCATGTTCTCAATAAATAATTTAATTATAGTTGCGGAAATAGTATACATATTTATATAGTAGGTGAACCTTGCAGAGAAGTGAGATGCCCTGAGAAAAGTGTGCAGACAACATACAAGTTTGTGTAGATTGGATACATATCAGTTTGTTCACAAAAATGTGGATGTACACTGTGCAATGTGCAGTTAGAATTGTTCTTGTGCAGGCAAGACGTTTACCAGGTTAAGGCTTTTTCTTGCCATGAAAGTGTGATAAAGCTGCTCATAAAAGTGTGATAAAGCTGCCCCTGAAAGTGTGATAAAGCTGCTCCTGAAAGTGTGATAAAGCTGCTCCTGAAAGTGTGATAAAGCTGCTCCTGAAAGTGTGACAAAGCTGCTCCTGAAAGTGTGACAAAGCTGCTCCTGAAAGTGTGATAAAGCTGCTCCTGAAAGTGTGATAAAGCTGCTCCTGAAAGTGTGATAAAGCTGCTCCTGAAAGTGTGACAAAGCTGCTCCTGAAAGTGTGACAAAGCTGCTCCTGAAAGTGTGATAAAGCTGCTCCTGAAAGTGTGATAAAGCTGCTCCTGAAAGTGTGATAAAGCTGCTCCTGAAAGTGTGATAAAGCTGCTCCTGAAAGTGTGACAAAGCTGCTCCTGAAAGTGTGATAAAGCTGCTCCTGAAAGTGTGATAAAGCTGCTCCTGAAAGTGTGATAAAGCTGCTCCTGAAAGTGTGATAAAGCTGCTCCTGAAAGTGTGATAAAGCTGCTCCTGAAAGTGTGACAAAGCTGCTCCTGAAAGTGTGATAAAGCTGCTCCTGAAAGTGTGATAAAGCTGCTCCTGAAAGTGTGACAAAGCTGCTCCTGAAAGTGTGATAAAGCTGCTCATAAAAGTGTGATAAAGCTGCCCCTGAAAGTGTGATAAAGCTGCTCCTGAAAGTGTGACAAAGCTGCTCCTGAAAGTGTGATAAAGCTGCTCCTGAAAATTTAGATTTTATCCGCACAATATCTGAACAATACAGCATTCTTACATTCTACATTCCCCGCCCTATCTACTCAAAGTATAGTTATATTTCGATTTCTAGTTACGTAGTTACTATATGACTAGTTACTTAATAACTATATAAATAGTCACTGAGTAACTATAGTGTGCAGAGGAACGGAGGCCGAGGGGAGGTCTTACACAGGATGTACCGCATGAAATATGACCTTTTTCCGCTTTGATACCTTTTGACAAAATCAAACTTCATGGTTATTTATAGCTTAAATTAAATATAGTCAGAAATATGATTTATTTTATTTATAATAATGGCTAAAAACATTAATTAATAATTGAAATAATATGCTTAAAAAAAAGCTACCCTTTCATATGTATATTTGGTGACCATCCCTTGATGTATTAGTACACTGACTTTATTACAATGATTTGAGGAGTGCACTGACTGTATTACAATGATTTGAGGAGTACACTGACTGTAAGTCCGTACTGACAACATGAAATGTCAGCGGTAAATTTCACACACAATATTACAACAAGTATTGTCAGACCATCATAAATATTAATATATATATAATATAATGATGAGGAAATACCTGGAATTACCTGAAAACTCCTGCAAAATACCTTGATACTCCTGTAAATACCTGTAAACACCTGAAAACACCTGTAAATACCTAAAAACTGCAATAAATACCTGGTAATTTAGAGGGGATCCAGGGAGTGACCGAGAATTTGCTTACATACGACTTATACCATTCGTATTTGAGGGAGCTATTCCCTTCTGCGTGACAGTAAAACTTCACTGTTGATCCCAAACTTTCCTAATATAGGAAGTGAATAATAAATTTAAGTCACATTTTTTACAGCAATTTATCGGTTAATATCTGGGTCAGCCATATAATATAAGAAACTAAAGATGATGCTGTAAAGGATGCTGAGTCTACAATCATGATGATTGTAGACTCATCATCAATACATCAGCATCAATACATCAGTCAGGTTGGTAAATTTATTCTTCGTAAACAATAATTTTATTTGGGAGAAAGTAAAAAGCTGCAGTAAATCGGGGTTTTGATAGTTTCAACATTACATGTTATATATGTATGTTTTAAGCCCTATTTGGGAGAAGGAAATGGCCTCGGTAAATCGGGGTGCGGTAAATCAGGTTTTACTGCATTTAGTTCCAAACAGCTGCCTGTTAAAATAAAACAGCACTGCTTGTTTGAAGATGAAAATACACTTACCATTTGAGATTGAGGTTGTCTAATGAACTTGAAAGGAATGTAAGGAAACGCGTGACTAGAAATACTTGTTGATCTCTTGGACCTGCTTGATATACTGTGTTAGGGTTAAGGTAAGCAGGAGGAATTTGGTCTGCCTACCATCAGAATAAATCTAGAGTTGTTTTTGAAAGTGCTCAGCTTACAATCGTCTCATTGCAACTAGTCATTGTTGACGGAGTTTGTTACATCTATTCCGGACGAACCTCCTGTTACTGGATATTGTTGCCAGAACGGGAATTCGTTATTGAACTGGAGCGCAGAAAAGACAGCAACTTCGCTGCACGGGTGGTCAGCCGTTCTGATGACCCGATAGAGGATCTATGAAGCAACCCCAAGTAAGTAAGTAACTATACCTTGAAAGTTGGTGACAAACAACTTTCTAATCTTTCCGTTTCGTCATAACTTTTCAACGTACAAATCATTGTGCACATAGGATAGGAATAGGAAAAAACATGATAGGAAAAAAGTCTCACCGTTCGGGGGTATTGGATCGAATGTTAAGGTTGTATTGCAGAGGTTCTGCGTGTAAATCGGTGGTATCATACCCTAGACTTTGTAACCACCCACAAATGGAGACATCCTCACCAACAAACACAGGACAACTCTCTTCGCAGGAGACACTGCAGATTGTAACTGATTGTAGATTAAAATTTGACGTTTAAAGTGGATGAGTTGATGGATGGATAATGATAACTGAATCAAGTGACTAGTAAGAAGCACAAGAATACATCCGTGTGAGTGCTACCAGAAGGTTGTATTCTATGAGTATTAAGGTCAAACTTTGAAAGCAATATTTTACCTGCATTTTTCGCCAACGGAGCATATATCAGCTGCTGTGTCACCACATTTTAGTTTTACAGCTAGGGCTAGCTCTGCAAAACCTACGACAAGCCACAGTAGAAACATTCATTACATAAGCTGAAAATAGTTGAATTTGTAAAGAAAATTATGGCTACAATATCTAAAAACCTTTTAAAATGAGGAAACCCTCCCAAACCATTCTTTGAAGGGCAATAATAATGAAAATTTATTACGGTCCCTTACTGAGGGCAAAACATGTATCCTGTCTATGAAGATGCTTCTTGTTGAAGTGTCCATGTATAAAACCTGAGTGACTGCATTAAATTAATCTGAGAAAACTATTAAGAACTGTCCACACTGTCTATCATACTCAATACTAATTAACTTATTATTTATATACTAACTACTGTATATGTTTTAATTCTTAGAAGGACACTCTATTAACAATTTTCGACTGATTTGAATGTCATGCATAATATAAGTGCATAGCAGATTAAAGTTTCTTTTTATGTTTTTCCAAAACATTTCAGTACATTGTGCAGAAAGTGTTATATTCAATATTTATACACTTATTAACCATAACCTTACATAGCAATGTTTTCTAAAAGATCTACCCAGTGGTGAGTTTTAGGTTAAGGATGCTCACTTTGAGACTTATAGTTTTATTGGTCTTGACTATTGAATTCGCATTTATATTTGTATGGAGTTATTTATATTATAATTGATATTAATTCTATTTCAGATTGTTATAAATCATTACCGTGTTTTATTCACTGAACAGAAAGTTTCGCCTGGCATAGTACCAAAGAGGATGAAGATACCAAAACCAAATCCAAGCTAATTAGATAGTAGTAAGGAGGTTGGGCCAAAGACTGGATCAAAATCGAAAAAGTTTGAACCAACCGGAGAGGTTCTGACTTATGGGTCGGACTCCCTTTGTATATTTGGGAAGACGAGAAGAAGGAGATCTTCAGTTTCAGGTATTGAGGCGTTATCTGGTCTGAGTTTGCGTATTGTCTTATATACGATCCCACTACTTGTTTGCGTACATGTCAAAGTAGGAGAGTTCTTTAGGGAGAGTTTTCTTAAAACTTTAAAACAATGGGGATAAATACTAAGACCTAAAAAAATCAAAACAAAATGCAGCCACCTAATTTGTTGTTAAGCTTTCTCTCCTCCTACGATTGACTAGTGGGACCATCTTTGACGAGTATTAAAAACTTAGACCATTACAAATACCGTACTGTAAGTTTGCAAGGTATGTGGACTAAGTGGGTCGAGAGTACTTGACTTGAAAGTGGGTGTTGAGAATCCTCAACTAAACTAAAGATAATGACATCCAGAAGATGAGGCAGTAGAGTGACTAGTTATAGTGAGTGGTAGAGGCTGAAGGAGAAGAAATGTCACAAGGAGAAAAATCATCTTTATGATAGTTCGCCAATAGCAATTTGTGCTAGAGAGCGGAAGGCAGGTGATACCTAAAGACGCAATATTTAAAGACATATACGCATATATTTTATCCCTACACATTTGTAAATAACTAGAATTGTGTAACCTTAAATTATTTCAGAATTATTACTATTGTGAATTCAATAAAATAATTATCACTTTTGTATCCTTGTATCCTTGTATCCTTGTATCCTACGCGTAGATAGAAACACCTGATCAATAAACTAACTATTTCCAACTTCGGAAATAGTTAGTTTATTGCCGGTTAGGAATGTTTTCAGCAACCAAATGCAACAAATACATTTTCGTAGTTACCGACATGGATCAAATCAAAGAATGATAAGAAATCTCACCCCAGTTCGGACGCAAAATAGTGCATGAAACCGAACTCGAACTCGGCACCTTCGGCATGTGAGCCGATCTTAAGCCACTGGGACGACATTTAGTACAAATCTGAGAATTTAAACTAGGAGCGACAAGGGGCAATTATTAAGATAATAATTTAGATCATGATAGATCATGACCAGCCTAAATATCTCTGAACAGCACAAGCTTTAGCAATATTACACCCAAAAAACTGGCGAAGAACAAGTGAAACAAATTTTTAGTGAAACAAATTTAAAATTTTATCCTTTATTTTACAATCATAATATAATAATATTTATAAGCCTCCGTTTTGAAAGTTTTAAATTTTAATACATTCACATTTCTATTTAAAATTCAATTTTATGTACAAGTCAATAACTGGCCGCCAAAGCCGCGCATTCTTGAAAACAGGATTAACTTGATTATAGTTATACGACTATGTAAATTTAAAACTATCCGTGGTTTTTTTCTTTTAAATAAATAAATTATAATTTTACCTAAGTCCAAAGCCAGCTTTGAAAAATTTACTATTAAATCATAATATATCGTCAACTTTAAATATTTACAATGCAACAATTCATTAATCTGTAAATACGCGTACTCCAGCCCCTAAACGCATAAATTGTTATGCGGCGCGGCTCAAGCCGCGCACGCACGTATTATTTTATACTGTTTGCTTTCTAATAAATATCGTGCCAATGTGTACGTCTAAATTGTAGACGTTCATGTTTTGTGTAAAGTGAATCCAATTGGGACTAGTGACAAGGATAAGGACCCAAGTGCCTGTACGGCTTTTTCGGACCCCTGTGGACCACTACTCTTGAAATCACTCTACAACATTGAACATCTATATCTACTACGTCATTTGGCAATTGTTGTCATTAATCTAACTTTCTAATTAATTGCCGAGGGGGAAGAGTAAACGCTTCACATTAAAATTCAATATACAAAATTCAAAACCATCAATACGGTATTAAATATTATGGACAAGTCTATAGATCTATTTCGTAGTCATATATTCACATGATTTGCTTTATATTATTTTAATACTGTAATGAAGTACAGTAGGATTTGTGTTTCGAGAAAGAAAGGTTGCGGTCAAATTATTAACAAAAGTAAACAAAAGTCCATCAGGGACTCCGTGGAGTCGAAAAAGGTACACGGCTGCTGTCTGGTGCTGCTAGGCATTTATTGATCAAGATGTTTTATTGTATTGATTTATAATGATTCTATTGTTCGTGACTAATCAAGTCCTAAGTGGAGGTATAAAGTGCTGCTCAAGATACTTCGTCATCTCATGTCCAGTATAATGATTAAGATAGTATACAATGCAGTTTTAGTAGTTGACCCATACAGTTAAGTCCGTCATAACTCACAATCGTTAAGTCGTCGGTCAATTGTCAAAGTCGTTGTGTGTTTATTCGTTGAGATAGCAGTAAGATAAGATGTTACGCGCGCGCGTTTAATCCCGTCGACGTGAAATGTGACAATGAAAACGCCATAGAATTATTATTTTCGCGCGTTACGTAGAGTTTACCAGTGTGTAATACTAGTTAACACTGGGTGTACACTGAGTGTAAGTGTAAGTTTCATATACGAGCCGTTGAATATTTCCAATTTTGAGTGTATCGTGAGCATGTTTTACAGTGCGATTGCTCGGTACTAGTGTGTTTGTGTATATATATATCATTTGTGGAGTATGGTGTAAGTAATGTTTTTGGTTGGAGTGCAGTGGTTATATGTATGAGAAAAGATATATGGTCATTTTAGTAACTCACATAAATCAGAACTTGAGCTCATTTGTGGCAAAATTAAGCTCACACCAATCAAGTGTATCATGCTTGAATTGCAATTCTCGTAAGGCAATTTTCAATATATTCTTAAACCCGTTTGATGGAGTATTAAAACTTATCTTACTTGATGTTTGTCGACAGCTGTTCCACATGTAGGATGATTGGTAGATGAATTGTGAGGATGGTTGTGATGTAATGAAATAATCCTCTCGTCGTGGTGACCTGTTAAATGATGAGTACAGTGATAATGGTTCCTCTAACTTATTAATTTTGAATAGTTCTAAGAGACAAGTGTACTTGTACAGATTGTGGACCGTCAACAACCTGTGGGTTTTAAACAAGGGCTTGGAGTGTTCTTTTTGGTAAAAGTCCACCCCCAGTCTTTGCTTATCAACAGGTCGTGTTCGGGCACACGTTTTAAACTTCTCTAGGTAAGCTTCTCTATCCCCAAACAGAATTCTTATACACTTTTTCTGTGTTTTAAAGATAGGTTCAAGTCGGTTATTGCTAATACCACCCCACACAGATATTCCAAATCCTAAATGTGATTCAAATAGAGTATGATATAAATCCTTATAATACTGCTTCGGGACAATGTGTCGTATTCTGCACAGCTTTCCTACTTCGCATTTAAGTTTTGAGTTAAGTGACTGCGTATGTGATTTCCAGTTAAGTTGGTCGTCAATAATAACGCCTAGAAATTTAGCTTCTTGAACTCTTTTAATAACTACATTATTTAAAGTTAGTATGTTCTCGTCATTCTCTACTTCCTCTTTGGCCCGTGAGGGTTTAAAATGAATAAAACAACATTTCTTAATGTTAATATGTAATAAGTTTAGTTTCATATACTTGTACACAAATGATAGAACTTCATTTCCTTTTTCGTATAGTCTTTTGACACATGTGTCTTCTATAAATATGTTAGTGTCGTCGGCAAATAGTATAAACTTTCCTATAATTGATGAGTTACGGATGTCATTAATATAAATAATAAAAAGTAAGGGACCAAGACAGCTCCCCTGCGGCACTCCATAGACTACTGGAAGTTTCTCGGATTCTTCACCTAATACCGAGACATAGTGGTATCTGTTCGACAGGTAACTTGCTATAAGGTTATTTGCATTTCCACGGATTCCATAATTTTCTAACTTATGCAGTAACTTTTCATGTGATATTGTATCAAAGGCTTTACTAAGATCAATAAATATTCCAAGAACGTGTTGTTTTTTCTTGAGGCAAGATTCTACGTGGTTCACTGAGTAATTTATGGCATAACTGGTCGAGTGATTTTTACGGAATCCGTACTGGTTTTCATATAAGGAGTTCTGTGAATGAAAGAAGCTGTATAATCTATTGAATATAATCTTTTCAAATATTTTACCAAACACAGCTAGCGTTGATACAGGTCTATAGTTTTCAAGGAGTTCCTGGTTATCTTTCTTGTAAATGGGACTAATCCTTCCAACTTTAAGGTCATCTGGAAATATGCCATCTTTCATACATTCGTTATACAGTACAGTGA